TGAAAACTTTGTCTCGTGGTTCCTTCTTTTGCATATACTCTGACGCTTGTGCTATTATTGTGATCATATTGTTTTTTAAACCTAATCTGATTACAATGGTTGGTAGTTCATTCAAATGTGGACAGCCGAACTGTTTATTCCCCGTAGATGAAGGGATGCAGTGCGATGAATGTAAAAAATGATTCCACAAGATGTGTACCCGTCTCAGTCCAGCTGCATGCAAAAGATGTTCTAAGCCTAACTCGCACTGGCTTTGTATGTTCTGCTGTACTAACAAGACGACATTAATTCAAGAGGCTATGAGCCTATTGGCTCTAGCCTGTAAAAAGAAAGATAGTGGGTGCGCTAGTAACGCAAGCACTGACAGTGAAGACTGTGTCAGTGTTGTAAGTGCTGTTACAAAACGCGCTGAACAACCTACTCTAATTAATGACAAAGTGAAACTTCCGTTACAACAAACGAGGAGTAAATCACCACATGGTATTGACATGAGTAATCATGTATCTTTAGTAGAAATTGAGGACCCGGATAAAACCGTAACCGTCCCCAATAGTCCCAATGCAGCTGTCCTGAATGACCAAAAATGGACCGCAGTAAAGAGGAAAAGAAAAGGAAAAAAAGCTAATGATAAAGCACACTTGATTGACAAGCCATTGAGGAACTCACAGTCTGAGTCACTCAATGCATTATCGCACTCTGATAGAACGGCAGATCATCATCCTAGTGCGACTGAGAGGAAGTTAATATCATCGAATATTATTGTGAGTAAATTGCCAGAGTCTAACGATCCAGATCCTAAGGTTAGACACACCCATGACTTAGAGAGGCTCGGAGAATATATCCGTAGCATATTACCAGATAACACTAAAGGTGTTCAGGTCAAAAAATTAGTTAGAATAGGTAAAAGGGCCGATGACAGTGTTCTACCCCGACCGTGTAGACTCCTTAAGGTAATCTTAGGGTCGGAGAAACAACGTAATCTTCTGTTAAGTAACGCTCGAAGTCACGACAACTCTGACATTCGAATGCGACCGGATGTGTCTCTTGAAGATAGAATAAAAAGCAAGACGGCACTAGCTGAACTAGAAACCCGTCGACAAAACGGTGAAGAAAATCTCCGATTGGTGGGTTTTCGAATAGTCAGGTCTTGGAAGCGAAGGACTCAGTAGCTGAATGGATAACGTGATGTCGTTTGAAGCGAAAGGTACTGGGTTCGAGTCCCAGAGTGAACATCTAGCTGACGAGTCCTAAGTAGTACGAAACGCGTGTCCTGGATTCCACTACTGGTCACTATCCATAATTTCTTATCGGATAATCTTCATTTCGCCCCCAAATGCCCTGGTACGGCCGAGAGTGGAGAGAGTCACCTCTCCCTCTCGAAATACTCTCATATGGCCAGCGAATATATAGCCTCTGCCACGGAAGTCCTACTCACTGCCTTCTCGTGGCGGGGGTGTTGTTTACGAAAGTGAGAGGACGATAAGCGAATGTCCGGCGCTTTAACCGGGTTGGTGGACACGGAGGGTCCACCTAGGGGAGTTGGGAAACCCTGATTCCAAACCAATGGTGCACATGGGCTCCAGTATCCTGATGGAACGAATGGCGGACGAACCTGTCATTGGTCAACGACTACCATGGGACTGCATCTCCTCACGATGCTCCACTGCCTTGTGGATCAGACATTCAGGTCAAAGGCTCCGGGTGTGGCCCCCTAAGAAAACCACCTGCTTCAGTCTGGGCACCTGGGCAGTATCACAGCCCTCACACAAATCGAATGAGATTTGTGAGGCGCATATTTATCTGGTGCTTCATTGTACCAATATTTATGTGTTTAAATAATAAATAATAATAATGGAAGCGAATGCTACCAAGGCCTGTGTGGATAGGTCGTTCCCCCTAGGAGTTTTATATGCCAACGCCCGTAGTCTAAAACATAAATTCTACGAGCTAGGAACATTAGTGGACAAATGAAGGCCACTCATTGTAGCTGTGACGGAAACTTGGTTAGTCCATGACTTCGACATCACCCCAGAATTATCCGGATATCATTGTTTAAGAAGTGATAGACATAGATGCAGGAAAGGTGGCGTCCTTCTATACATAGCCAATAGTATAAATATCCGCTCCTCCGTTTGCGAATCCCATGATAGTGGAACTAGTGAAGCCATTAGCTGTGAACTCACTGTCGGATGTTGTACATTTGCACTCGGTGTCATCTATCGCAGCCCAATCTGCTTAGCTGATGACTTTATTTTAGAGCACATTCGGCTATGGAGTGCAAATAACAGATGCTTGATATTAGGAGACTTTAATGCACCTGACATTAGTTGGACTGAGATGACCACGAAATGCTCTATAAACTCATTTGATAGCAGGCTCTTGGAAACAGTAATGGAACATGCATTAGTACAACATGTACCCAAACCTACACGTTTCGGTGTAAACCAAGGTTCTTCTCTGTTGGACTTGGTAATTACCCATGAGACTGAGGATATTGCCAACCTAAATATTCTTCCCCCGTTAGTAAATAGCGATCACGCTGTTTTATCATTCACGTTCAGAGCTAGCGATATGATATACGATCAGATTAAGCCTCGCCCAAACATATGGAGAGCTAACATACCAGAAATTCAGGATTGTGCTACTAAGATAGATTGGTCAGTAGATACTAGCTCATCAGTTGATGAGGCGTGGTCTGTATTTAAAGGCAAGTTTAGTGCAGTCACGTCCCCGTTCATACCATACTTGGTGCCACGTAGACCGAACAATAGTCCACCGTGGGTAAGTAAATAAGTTAAGAAACTCCTTAGGCGTAGAAAAAAACACCGGAACATGTTCATCTCTACTGGCTTAGAACAGTACAGATCTAGTTATCGTAAGATTAGAAATAATTGTAAAGCGTTAATTAGTAGAACTAGACGGTCATACGAAAAACAATTGGTTAGGGATTGCAAACATAGTCCAAAACGGTTATTCTCGTATATAAAGAGGCGAACTCAGAGAAGTGATGGAATACCATCACTTTTGATACAAGAAAATCCGTTAAGTTTGGCAAGAAATGATACCGAAAAAGCGGAAGATTTTTCGGAATATTTCAGTAAAGTTTTTTCTACCAATAATGAGGAACGATCACCTATTCATTGTGATTGTGGCGACCTGTTGATGGACCCTGTAGTTATTAAGAAAGAAACTGTTTTAAGCCTACTCTAGTATCTTAAACCTGATAAGTCTAGTGGTCCTGATGATATTCATCCTCGGATTATGAAAGCCCTCTCAGATGTTATTGCTGAACCCTTAGCGATGCTGTTCGATATGTCCCTACGGCAGTCCAGATTGCCCAGAGACTGGAAGGACGCAATAATCAGTCCGGTGTATAAGACTGGGGGTAGAGATTTAGTTAGTAACTATCGACCCGTCAGCTTAACTAGTGCAGTTGTAAAACTAATGGAAAAAATTATTAGGGTGGCTGTTATAAACTACGTGGAAAGACATGATCTTTTGTCAAGGGAACAACATGGTTTTCGAAAAGGTCTATCATGTTTGACAAATCTTCTCATTGTAAGAGAAGATTGGGCTGAGGCAAAAGATCGCAATATTCCTGTAGATGTCATTTTCATAGATCTAAGTAAAGCCTTTGATAAGGTTTCCCATTCTGGTCTTAAATTGAAACTAGAAAGTTTTGGAATTCATTATGCAGTCATAGACTGGATAAGTGGCTTTCTTCATGAAAGGAGACAACGGGTAAGAGTAAATGGGGCTCTCTCATCGTGGGAACCAGTAAAAAGTGGCGTCCCCCAAGGCACGATTTTAGGTCCTCTTCTCTTTTTACTTTATAGAAATGAATTACCAGCTATAGTCATCCGTCCTACTATTCGCCGATGACATTAAGATTTGGAGACCCATATACAGTATGTCAGACAGAATAGTTTTACAGGAGGATCTTAACTCACTAGTTGCATGGATGAATGGGTGGTCACTAGAAGTAAACCCTAATAAAAGTGTTGTGATGCAATTAAATAACTACGATGATTCGTATCACTACACAATATGTGGACTAGTGTTGCCCAAAGTAAGAAACTATAAAGATTTAGGAGTCATACTAAGTAATGATCTCAAAACAACCAGTCACTGTAAGGCTGCTGCTGCAAAAGGCTATAGGGCATTATGGTCTATTCGTAGATCTTTCCGGTATCTGAATGGAGAAATGTTTAGATTATTATACTCAACTTTCGTACGGCCACATTTGGAATATGGGATTCAAGCAGCGAGTCCTTGTTTCAAATATGAGGCGGATATGTTGGAACGAGTCCAACGCCGCGGGACAGAAATGTAAATGGTCTATCTAGCCTATCTTATGAAGACAGACTGAGTCACTTCAACTTATTTCCGTTATCTTACCGGCGAATACGGGGCGATCTAATATTGGCATATCGTATCCTGAACGATGACCTTGGTACTAACATGTCCCATCTTTTCCTCCCGTCTAGGGCTGAGCATTTGAGAGGACATTCAAAGAAAGTCCAAAAACCGAGATCAAATCGTCTACGTCTGGAGTTTCGTTTCTCGCACCGAGTAGTGAATTACTGAATTCTCTACCAGAACACGTAATATCAGCACCTTCTGTTGATACATTCAAGACGAGATTGGACCTCCACAGTGTAACAAACTGCAAGGATTAAAATAGGTCACTAGACCTCCTATCCTTATTACTGAAGACTGAGGGCGAGAAGAAAAGCCAGGAACGAATGACCTACCGCTGGCAACAGGTTTTCGCAGAATCGTCTATTCTTGGAACCTGTTGCAAGGAGCAGTGGTGTCCGCAACTTCAATTGATTAATTCAAGAGAAGACTAAACACACAGAAGCATACTACATAAATCCGGACCTGAAAAAAATATCTAAGGCTATGAACGTCCTTTATAAGAATATGAACGAAGATAAAGATCACAGTAAGTAGATACCAAGGAGTAAAATTTTGACATACTTCAAGTGGAAACCTACCATGTAAACTACATACAACTATCTTGAAAGGAGACCTTGAGGACCGAAATGTCCGCCGTAATGTCCTCGACTTTCAAATTCCTCATATTCGCTATGATAAGACAAAACTAACTTTCAAAACCATTAAATCATTTTGGGTTAAAACTTACTGCAACTATATAAAGAGTATCGAATGAAGCCAATGGAAAACCATATGATGAGAATCACAATCAATTGTTAATTACTACCTTAGATATTTTGATTGAAGTTCAGATGTAATTGATAATTTGAAATATTCGAAAACTAAAATTACTAAGGGTAGGATGTTCGTTAATGTTAATTAAACTTCAAAATTAACTTTTCTGTGCTACTTCATAATAGTAGGTGACTTGAAAATTCGTAGTTCATCTGAAAATAGGTAATAAATGATGAAAAGTCGGGTAATAACGTTTGTGTTTCGCACAACTAGGGAAGTCAACCAGTGTAATGCAAATCAATCAATGGAGAGCAAATATTATTAAGTATCGCTCTATCAAACAGCTATAAAGTACAGTACAGATTTGTCTTAAGTCCAAATGATTTGCACAGACACATATATATAGCTACTACGTGAAAGTGTACCCAGCTGGTAAAAAACTAAATAATTTTGCCGAAAAGGAGGGTAATTTCCATCGGTAATAATTCACAAATTTATAATATAGCAAATGATGTAGCAGAAAAGGTCCTTGTAGGTAGTAAGTGATTGCAATATGCTCTATACACTTAATTCGTATCCTCAACACACAAAAATGATAATTTTTCAAGTTTGTCAATAGGAGCCAGTGTTTTGTCAAAGTTTCTTTCAGTTCTTTGCTGAAATACGAGTCATTCTTTGAACGATCTTTTACTTCGGGTCACATTTAGAGACATAATAAATGCACCACCCAAATAACCGAAATTTTGACACTATTAGTAGCTTTACATCATTCAGTGACGAATTATTCAGAGCGTTTGTTTATTATCGAATGTTCATGTTCAATGGCCATGTCAGGCAATAGAGATGTACTACATAAAGTCTGACAGGAAAATGACCGCAATTTTGGCTCACGGTTTATTTGACACTAGTAATGTTTAAAAAATGCATGCAACCTGAGAACGGCAGTGTCGGTAGCCTTATGATTGTTTCCTCATTGTGGCAAACTTGTATGTGACCACATTCACAGAATACAATCACGTCAAATAACCTACTGACGAAATCACATTGATATAGTTTGGATGTACCTCTCAAGAATCCTGCTACTCATTAGTGTCCTGAGGAACCATAACGTTGCGTACCAAAGAACTATTGGCTAATATGTATATATTAAGAAGGGGATTTGTGGAGATTTCAGTATTTTTCAAAGTTGAAATCATGAGTCAATTGAAGCTAGACCACCATCGAAAACCTGGAAGCACTGGACGGCCGTTTCGTCCTATTATGGGACTCCTCAGCAGTGCGCATCCACGAACACACTCTCGTTTCTACCTACCAGTTTCGAGCCGAAGCCCTTAACCGATAGACCACTGAGCTGGCATCCAACGGTGTTAATGTCTAACTTCAACTGATCCACGAAGTAGGTCCTGGGTTCGAATCCCACGAGAGTGGGTTCGTGAATGCGCACTGCTGAGGAGTCCCATGATAGGACGAAACGGCCGTCCAGTGCTTCCAGGTTTTCGATGGTGGTCTAGCTTCAATTGACTCATGATTTCAAATTTGAAGAATATGTATATATAGCTATTATTTAGATTCTTTGAAAGACCTATGATTAGTGATTAATCTTTTTGTAGAATTCTTCAATAAAGACGGAAAAACGTTGATGATCAAGGCGTATCGGAGGTTCCTACGTGATGAGAAACAATGCGTGGTGAGCTACCTATATTTTAAGTTAGTTATAATAATCACGGAGTATTTAAAGAACTATTTATATTTAACGGTACCAGGCTGTGATGCAAGACGCAAAATGACAAAAACCAGACCCATATCAATTCTTTTTTCTCAAAATTGTTATATATGCAAACAAGATTATGATTTTCAAGTCCACTCATGGTTTTCAAAGTTATGATTCATCAGTGCTGATTAAGATGCACATTGTTCATGGAAGGTTAAATTTTTTGAAAACGTGTGGTTATGCCCGAAATTAACACTTATTCACTGTATTATCTCTCAACAGTTGTATGATTCTTATTTTTGGATTTCGGCGCCACTCTAGGATCGAAGTTGTCCACTCATTAGGTCTAGTAGATGCAACCACACTAGCCTACACCTCACTGTTGATTACAGATTTTATTAGGATCACGAACAAACTTAAGCTAGTCAGCTGTTTCGAACCTAGGTGCAATGGGTAGCTATTCCGTTCAAGTATTAGGCTCCTTGGAATTTCGTGTCCGCAACCCCACTGGCGGTAGTTGAATCTATAGCCCTCGGCCTCGCGAGAGAATGCCTATACTTTGGACCTTTAGATATGGATTCATTCGTTTACCTTCATTCACTTCAGTCTCGGAGATACAGTCAGGAGCACGGATAACGGAGTTTAGCAACACTGAGTATGAAGCGATCATCCATCACAGTGAATGGAGTTAGGTTGAGCAACGACATGAATCGCGTTAAGTCAGATATGTTCACACTTGCATCTCGGTTCTATAATCCGTAGTTTGGGTATATGTGTGCAAGATCGAAGTTAATAGGTTCTTTCAAAGATGATTGAGTCGTGAATGAGCATTGTTAAAAGATGAAATTCCAAGACGAACTAGAACATCAGTACTTCAAGACTTTCAATGGTGATGTAACTTTCATCGGACATTCATGACTAATATTGTATTGGTAAAAATATACAATCGCGTTTTTTGTCTGTCAAGTGAGTACGGTGTCTTTGCCTGCTTCTGCACTCGTCTCTCAGCACACCATTTGTCAGTCACCTCATATATACAGGACGATCAGCAGCGTTCAGTCGCACTGCTATATTTTCTGTAGTACCAGCCTATGGTTTTATGTGAGGTGTTGTTACTGTAACGACGATGCCTGCTTCGAAATCTTGCAACAGCTATATCTAAGTGGTTAAAGCGCATTAAAAATCCCGATGTAAGTGTAAAAATATTATACTCAGGGGTTACAGAAGTTGAGATATTTTTTTTAAGCAATCATCGCATGTTTTATCCCCCCCTACTGAATAGTGAAGTGTATGAAACAGTTTAGCTCAGTAATCTAATTCCACTTGGTGTAATATAATGATCGGTGAGACCACAATTTTGGAGCCTTACGATCAATAAGCTTATTTGTAGAGGTTAACTGAACTGACAGCTCCGTACTAAAATGTGTCGGACAACCGATTTTGTTTAAGCTTCATAATATGATCTTTGGATGTAGTACGAAGCGTGAATACTAATTGGGAACTTCACGGGCTTTTATTTGGTCTACTATATCAGCGAGTCTCTAAATATTGATATTTCCATAACCAGACGATATAGTTTCTTCTACGTGTGTTAGGTGCCACCTAAACTACAAATGATGAAATAAATGTTTATGTTGTCCCTGATTACAAAACACATTAATTATATATTTCCTGAGGTTCGGTAGTGTGTTCTTCGTGAGCTGTACGTTTGTAAGCCATCGATCGATAAATAGTTGGCCTTACGAAGAGTAAATTATAACAACTCATAGAACACAGTATGGTCAGTAAGCTTGAAAGTTATCTCTTCAACATTTCCCGAGATTTGACTTAGAAATAAAAAGGTGATATGTATAAAGTAAGCAGTTTCGTTAATTAACTTATTATCAAAGAAAGTGATTTGACCGTATGACCGATTACGTAGGATATATGCCTTAAAATGTAGTGAAAGGGAGGATGCAAAACCCGCAGCAGTATATTTCGAATGGATGCACATGTTGGTATATCGTAACATGATAAACACACTGAATAAAAAAATTGAAATATTCAAAATATAACAGATGGGAAGAAAGCATACATATCCACATATTCATCAAGGTAGATGACAGGTATCAATAAATGAAAACCACTAACGTATAGAAACTTGAAGTGAAAAAGATTTTGTTGGATTTACATAAAATTCGTGTTGTCTTTTAGGGAAACTGTCATAGAAGCAAAACTCCAACCAAATTAATAAGCCTTTCACTCCGTGTCAAAGAACACAGGTCGCCCACCAGCGCTCTCCGTCCAACCTTGTCCTGGTGTGATGTTCAAGAGTGTTTGAATTAAAGTATGAACTAGTAATCCCAGAAACAACGCAATTCGATCAGGAAGTATTAGATGAACATTTGTATTGGAATTGTATTTGGAATTCAAAATCAAGCAGTCACCAATAGAAGGGAATCATTGGTTCATTCATACACCACATCCGCCACAGCTAAAACGAGGATCCAAATTTCTGTGATCAATCGCACCTATTCTCTTTAGGTTCATCACGTGTTTGCCCGATTATGAAATTGATGTACTCTATGTACGATCTAGAATATAGTCATTAGTATTAGGAATAACAACCGAAATTGGAACAGAGCCATCTGATTCTTGTAATTGCATACAATCATCATGTCGGTTGTGCAGTCAAACCACATATCTATAAATCGCCTCATAAACTTTCCAACACCATCCTTCCCCACGAAATGATGTTGGGTTCTTACGTCGCAATGCTATAACCAATTTGACGTTACTAATTTGTATTACCTTCCCATATCTCACACTTTGATTATTACATGTGAGTATTTGCGGATAAACACTGACACGTAATTTGAGGTACTCCGTCATGTGAATTTGACTTGAATAAAAATTATGATACATACTCCTCATGTTATTCATATTAGAATACACAGATAAATATGCAGTGATATGTGTAATTATCACATGTGATTCATCTAGGCTTGGTTCACCTGCGAAACCACAGAATGGAAAACACACATCTGCCTCATACTCATTGGAATAACCTTGGACTTGGTTTAGATTCTTTGCTTGTGCAAACTTCTTAACTGGTTCTCTGATCGCTTTAAGGAAACTTGCTATTTCCTCTGATTCATCATACCACTGACTAAGGATTCTAATTGTTACATTGGTTACGAAAATATCCAACATCTGATACAATAACATCAGACATGTGACTAGAATTCGACTTATTCAGAACATATTTGTCACATTCATTAGGAATATCATTAGAGATAAATCCATTGTGACGACGAATAGCATTTGATATGACATCAGAGTTTGAGTTTTCTGAGATATTTTCATCACATTTATTAAGAGTTTCATTAGAGAATAATGGATCATAAGAAAATCAGCATCTACCAAAACTGAATCTGGTTCTTGATCATGATTTCACTCATTCAACATATTATTATCAGAGTTGTAAGAAATTCCATCGGAAATCCGTGAAATATTACGACAAACCACATCTTGTGCAGTATTGAGAGAAATCTGATAACAAGTCGGTTGATTGGAAACTTCTGTCTCACAATGATTACAAGTTTCATTCAACTCTGGACTATTGTGACGTTATACCACTTCTCAAAGATTTGGATGAAGTTATCATTAGAAACATCCAACTTAGTAGAATCACAAATTTTAGCATCAGTTTCAGCGAAATGAACCATGGTATTACAAACTGACTGAATGTGTCCAGCTTTACAACATTCAGAATTAGGAAGTACACATGAATTAAATAGGTGAAACTTACCACACAACAAGCATTTAACGAACGTGTGTTCATCTTCGTGAACTGTTTCACAACTCAATGAATTTTTACTTGAATAACCTTGATTACATATTGGACTAGGACGACGTAGTAAAGTAGTGTGATTCCTGATGTTCCGGCGAGTCATTTCATCGAACTTTTCTCCCTTACCGCATTCGAAATTTGTATACTTCACATGGTCCAGCAGTAGCTGTTTGAAAGTTGCATAAGGGAGTGAAATCGATTTGTCTGGAAATGCCAAAGTCTTGACTAAGTTGTATGCTTCTTTTCCAACAGATGTAAGGAAAAGGGACACGATATTAAAACCCCTGACATCCTCCTTGGCCGAAGTCAAGATTTCGAACCCTCCCATGTAATGTTCAAAAGTATCAAAATCTGGGTGTATTTCAAACCCGTCCATTACAGGCTCCATCGCGATGTCAATGTAATGATTTGAAGTATTTAAATTATAGTATGAACTGGTAATCCCAGCGATAACGCAATTTAATCAAAAAGTATTAGATGAACACGAATGAATGTACAGTATTTGGAATTCAAAATCAAGCAATCATCAATACAAGGGAATAATTGGTTCATTCAATCATCACATCTGGACAATCCTTTCTAGTTGTTTCCAGTTGCTATTTATCCATTTCATGTCTGTTTCCCATTCCCGACACAATGTGTTCTTTGGCCTTCCTTTTTTTCATATCCCTTCACAATTCCAGGTTCGCTAACTTGCCTCGTGATGCCGTTCGACGATTTCCTTAATGTGTGTCCTATCCAATTCCAGCGTCTTTTCCTAATTTCCTCTTCAGCTGGAAGCTGGTTTGTTCTCTCTCACAGTAGGCTGTTGCTGATGGTATCCGTTCAACGTACATTGAGTAGACAACAGTTTATAAACACTTGTACTTTCTAGATGATGGTTGTATAGTGGATGTCGAGTCGAAGACGGACTATGATCACCACTACAATTCGTTTACGCGCCCAAAAACGACTTGGTTCCTTTGATAGCTCGTAAAACAGAAGACTTTATTAATCCAGATCAATTGTATTTATTGGCGATCTAGTGGTATCGAAATAATACCGAGACGTGCCAAAGAGTACAGGCGAACAGGCAGTGCGTGAGCAAGTTCGAACCAAACAAGGCGGAGAGCGAAAGCATAAGTGAAACTGACACAGTTAAACAAATACAGTAAAACAATCTCTGGTACAATTGGTTACAATAATAATAATTGTTTCTGTTATTCCAATCGTGTTCTTATCGAGACTGGCCGGTCACTACAGTTGTCCCAGTCCATGTCATCCCATGATATCTTCATATCAGGTGTTGTCCCTTTCGACTTTGGCGCTTATGTCACCGAATCCTGGCAAGTTATCTCCTCATTCCTATTGCTGTTTGATTGGTACTTCCGGTCTCTCACATTGTCCGGACGTTTCATATACCTATCAAAATTGGTGCTCTAGTTGTTAGAAGAAGCATCGGCATCTTGACTTTTAACATGAGGCGTCAAAATTCTCCCTTCAACTCCCAGGGCAGATTTTAAATTGTTTAATCTGGTTAACGTTTTTTAGTAAGGTTGTATTCTACGGGTTAGGTTCGTCAACCTTATGCTTAAGCCTTCTCCTTTATCCAGACTTGGGAGTCCCCTAAGATGTGTTACCGGCAGATTTGAACATGTTTTGAGAGTTTTAGATTTTAATTTACGTTCGGGAGTACATATAAAATGCTATTGTTGGAATATAATTCTGAAATCAAGAAGTTTCGGGTACGTCTTTCGTTTGAAAGTAAAAATCCTCAAAACAGTTATACACGATCTTTCGAGATATTGAAACAACCGTCTCGCTTTTAGTACTTGAATAAATACTTCCAAGTCCAACTGTTCACATTTCAACATTTGCCGTTCATTGATGTTGATTATTATTGTTTCATGACTATATAATTTATCTTAACACTCCCTATTGGAAAATTTTATATCTACGTGACTTCATATTCTCAAAGAAAAATCTCAACATGAATTGAAATCCATATTCTTTGTGTTTTGGAAATATGGTTCCGGAGTTAGATGATAGTATGGTCGGTTTCTTGTGGAACTTATGGCATTGCTGTATCACTAATACTTCAACACCAAGCGTTATATATTCTTGGGTGAAAACATTCATCCTTAACAGTTGATATCGAACTTTTACCACACAACTAATGTCAAACTGACCTTTATTTCAATCATTCAGTGCAATTAGTATGATAAAAAAGTGCCATTTTTGAGTTTTAACACTTATCACTAGCACATCCATTTATAAACATTAACATAGCATCTTAAGTTAACCTCCTGGAACTTTAAAAAGAGTGGGGACTGATGAGACGAAATGATTATAAACGTGTAGTGTCAAATCCCACCCCATTACATCAGGTGTCAAAAACTTGAGCCTCAACATTACTTAGTGCTATAAATAATAGGGTTAAAGCTATTCTTTTGCAAATTGTCAGAAATTCATTCCTCATGGCAAACGATTTCCTGAAGTCTGATATACGTCTCCGACAGCATTTTTTCATTCAAAATGCCATTCTGCTATGTTAAACTGAATTATGACGTTATTTCTTTGGTGTCAAAGAACCTACGAAGATCTTAACACGTCAGAACTGACTTTTTACATACAGAATAAGTTAAGCTCTGCATAAATACAACTACGAGCAGATATCTAAAAAAATTTTCTACACGTCCTTATTGATATTTGGAACAGGCAGTATTTCTAGTAGCATTATACTAAGACCCTTTCTTTTATTATATCAGGGGGAAGTTACGCAGCCTGTCTCCATCGCGTCAATTTGTTGATACTAATTGTCTTAACGTGTATCACCGTCACTTCAGAACAATAACACTGACGTAAAACGTATCGTGGTTTCACATTCTTTGTTCTCGCATTTGCGCAAAATATTACATTATTGTGTCTCATGTTTAGACACTGAATCTAGTGTTCCTCTTGGCGTGACTACAGAGTAAATGACCGAGAATTTATTTAAGTTGGCGTCAGGTTTTAAAACTCACATTAATATGTAACCTACTCAGACAGTGACCGCTCAAAGTTGACACAAGTCTAGCATAACCTGAATATGAATTTACAGATTGTCCACCCATGTTATCTTAACTAATGCTACCAAATCACTAAAACACCTATCCTTATCAGACTAACACTTAGTAATTTACTTTTTCTAAGCAGCCACCTAGTATTTATATATACCAATTATATTCCAAATTGTTTATTTCTGATATTAGAAACTTGTACAAAACGAGCAACTACCACATTATTAAGGCGAATAAATAAACATTAAATAGTGGAAAATAATGTACGCTTTGGAATAGTGTTTTAAGCGTTTAAATCAATATAAACTTCTCCTTGAAAAAGTGTTATAATTAAAAAGTAATCAAGCACAGTTTTAAAAAATCAACAGAAAAAGTGAGTGAAAATAACTTAACCTACCACTATTCACAAGAGAACTTTGACAGAAACGAATAAAAAAAGGAAGCGATAAATTCTGATGAAAGTAAAAAATGTCGACTTGTGTAATACGGTCTTATGTTCATTTATAAAAAAGATTTGGCAATCATATATATGAAAAATCGAATACACAAGTTTAGTAGAATCAAATATAGAACTATGCATAGTTGGTTCTGAATTCATAAGTTAATTTACAAACACGTATATTGTGCATTGCTTTTCGTAAAAAAAGACAACACATAACACATCTTGGAAACAGCACAAATTCACTTACGGAATAACATTAAATTATGCATTTAATTCGTTGAATATCACAGGCGATCAAAGAAAAGCGGTAATAGAACTATTGACTTTTTAGAAGCATATCAATCTACAAAAATTGTGTGCAAATAAATAACGATATTAAGTAATGCATCAATGAAATATATAAATAACCAAGGTAAACAACACACTTTATCCAAAATTTACATAAACGTCATAACTCGTAACTTCATACGTAAAGAATTCAGCTTCCGTTTGGGTTACTACTAGACAATATCACCAAACTATGTACAGAGTCAATTACATGGATATATCAACCACGTTACTAAACTGTTCAAATATTAAGCTGATATGAAATGTATGAGCTGGAAACCTATTGAAACCGCTCAATTACGTATTTCCCAGTTGATAAGGTCAAACATCCATACTCCATTTTATCTATTTCGAAGTTTCGAAAGTCATATTGTAAGGCCAGGCATCATAAGACAATGTGCTCCAAAGCAGCGTTGAAAAGTTTATTTAGTTGGAGGTGATTAAGGAAAATCTTGAGCATAGGTTATGCGCCAAACGGTACCTAGAATCTTGAGGAAGCTGATGTTCCCTAAGGAATCACAACCCATGTCATCCAACTTCAGTCTGAGAGGTAACCACTGACCATTTTAGAAGGACAATGACTTGCTATGAGACTGATAACTTTACGTTGGTTTACAACTGAGAAGTAATAAATATCATGTTTATCTAGTCCTTGAAGTTGGACGAATTTCGACGACCAATATGTAAGGTGACACCTTTAGATCAGCACCCTACAATGAGCATCAGTTCCATCAGAATCCCGGAAACGCCAGGTCGGACAGCCCAAACTAGCAGGACACCTAATTCAAACAGGGTTTTCTACAAGCTATCTCCAAAATAAATCAACTTCTGTTGGAGAGTTCCAAAATGCAGGGGCCCCGAAATTTTTTGGCAGTGTTTTGTGTTCAAGTTGCCGTCTAGATTTAGTCTGGGTTATCAGAAAGAGGTTAAGAAATCGGATCAAGAGTTCAAACATACAGACATAACAAAATCAAGTAACAATAAATTAAACTATATCACTTATTACTTACCTGAGCTCTATACATTTCTTTAACATCAGCTAAATCCAATTTAAGTTCATTATTTTCTTCCGTTAATTTACCGCATAAAATCAATAAAGTTTCATAACGTTGTTGTAATTCCATTGTAGGATCATTGTCATCAATTACATCACCAACATCACGATCATGGTGATTATTTGTAATAGGAGCAAAGGGATCTGACTGTGATAAAGTTCTATTTACATGTTTTGTATATTTTACACCTGCTAGCTTTTCATATTTCTCAGCTCGAGCCGTTTGTTTAGCAACTTCAGTTAATAATTTTTCTTGTGTAGATGTTAATTGTTCAATTTCACGTTTCAAATGAGCACATTCACCTTCGCGTAAATGTAAATGAGACTATAAAACAATAAAATTATTTTAAACTAAGTGAGAGCAAAAAATAGATGTTTAATAAAATTCTCTTAAGTTTCATGATCATTAGAGATCCAGTGTATAGGGGTTGTGGATGCCTATTTCCGAGGAGTTATATGCTAAGACAAAATTGCCATACAGTGGTTCTAGGTTTTCAATGGTGGCCTAATTTAGCTCGATTCATGATTTCAATAAAACCTAACAAATAAAATAATATCGATGACGTACCACAACTGATTATTCATGAATACACGATGCAAATCGGAAAGTATAATTTGATAGAGAGATGACTAGCTGAGGTGGATAATATAATTTATGAGACTGTACAGTATACGAACACTTCAGTAATAAATTACAAAATTGTATACATTTGGTATACGGAATCATGATATAACCTGACTGAGAAGATCAAATTAGATGAAGTATTGTTCAAATCTGTGACCCAACGAATCAAGATTGAGTGATTTAGCCATTACATCACTTGTGGTCAATGACAACTCAGACATTCACAAATAGCCAGGCACAGACTTATATACTTGGCTTTGAGCTACATTTTAAGTGTAATAACTATTAGAACTACTCGGTTATCTTAACTGAAGCGAATGAAGTGATATTTGAGCCTGGGATTAAGTGGCTGAAATTCGAATGCCTTAACCACTAAGTCATCATTGCAATTCACTTGGCCTAATATACATAAGTGAATTCAATGATATTTGTATACTTCGCTAGGAGGTACATTTTCAGTATGAGATGTATTTTAATCATATTCGGTTACCGATAGAAAGTTGGAGAAAATGAGCCCGAACATCATGACTAAATGTAGAAACGTCAAGTGTCCAGATCGTTGGGCTACCGCTACAAACAGAGAGATAAACTATGATTGATAAATATGTTTTAAAACTATGATATGGGGATTAGTAATATTTCGTGAACACACCACCACACGAAAAAATAAAATTGACATATAAAAAGGTGTTTGTTGCTTTAAAGAAATGTTACGAATAGGTAAGTTTTTAAAAACTGAATTACAACAGTAAAAACACAATATTTCATATAAATGACAAAAAGAATATGGAGAAAAAGGTTAGCTAGGTTATGACAAGATTTTGGGTGTTATAGGCTTTTTCTCAAAGAGAAAAATAAGATGTTTTCGACGTACTGAACAGATTAACGTAACAAGAATCAACATTCAGCAAGTTGTCGGAGTCCTCATTTAACGAAACTACGTTATCTGAGTGTTCCATATGAACTAAAGGTTCTTTAATAAGCAGAAAATTATGATGAATAAATTATTGTAATCAAAAGTATATTAACGACAAAGTTGAATACGAATCGAGAGGAAAATTTAAGTGATAAAAACAACTTCCCATACTTGGAAATCCAAGGTGACGTGGTGCACATATAAACTACAGTGATGACAACAGATTCACCCGTTAACTCAATCTAAATATTGATCTTTAATATTATATCACGTTTTTCATGTTCCGTATTATCCCTTACCTTCGAATTAATTAATTCATGATTAGTTTTTACCAGTATCGTAGTTACGATCCCCTAACTAGGCTGGTATTGTAAGTAAGAAGTTCAGCTATATATATGAGCCATATTATGAAAATGACTACTAACATTAATTTAAGTCTTTCGGAAAAAGTCTTCATAGTAAAACTTATTCTTGATGTCGGAAGCTATTGATCAATTTGTGTAAACTTTACAAAGTGCTTTTGTCAGGACTATTCTTGCTCCCCAATATTATTTAATTTCGTCATAGATATGCTGGTAAAGAAAATAATCTTTTTGACCCTGAGTGTATTAATCTACTAACTAGAGACTGGGCTAAGAATACATACATGACATACTTCCATTTGATAAAGACACTAAGAAAGTGTAGTAGTCCGAAACTTTTGAGTGAAAAGTTAAAAATGTTTCGGATGCCTTTCTTTAACGATATATGAAAACTGTTGCTTTAAAACTAGTCTCAAATAATTTTTATCCTGACCACTGAAAGTGAGGTAGTTGAATACGTTGACGACTTTGAAAGAGTATCAGTCCTCTACTGATTGCGGATTCGTGCCTAGACAACAAATAACGACTCTCATAAAGCTTAGATCAAACGGATTTCAACAACAACGTAAATATTTGATTCCAATTATTGTATATTGTCCAAGTTAGCAAAACGATCAAAGAGAGTAAAAAAAAAGAGTTAAATGATAAACATAAACCTCAAACACTGATTAAGACTCCATATTATAATTACTTCTTACTTGAAAATATTCCATAGAAGCTTGATTGACCATATCAGAAGAAAGTTGAAATGTTTTCGGAATACTGGCTACTTCATTGTTTAATGAAGATCTTCGCTGAAAACAGGAAAGAAAATCAAGAATTCAACCATATTGTTAATGCTTTGGCTGTCTTATTATAATTCGAATTATAATAATAAATAACAAACTGAAAGTCGATTGGTACATGATGCGCACTTATTGTTCAGGTATTTGAGAGTTTCCATGAACTGACCATTCGATCGAATACACATTGTCGATAATATCAATGCAACTCTTTACAAGCTAAGCTAAGAAGATTTCAGTAATAATACTGTAATTATTAAACTTTACCAGTTATTTTTCGTTACAATTTACATATATAATGAAGCCAAACTAATTTAAACTTTAAAAAACAGACCAGATGAAGGCTACTTTTAGTTAGTGAAAGCGATTGACAACTTAATCTTTTTACTATGCACAGCTTAATGTGCTAAGCTTTGAAGCAGACGGTTTCCATAAGAGCTAGCGATCTTAATTGGCTGTTCGGAAAAAACTAAATTGTAACAAGGTGAGGGTCTGAGAATGACTACTTTAATCACTTAATCATCGCGTTTTAAATCGGTGTGTTTCAAAATGCAGATAAGAACACAAACTTCAAATTACTGGTTTATACATAGTTAAATTTTGCATGTAAATGCGAAATAAGAAAATCAACATTCAACACTATCTCGCGATGAATTATAAATAACGTAAAATTTTGCATGATTGTGTTGTCCAGAACAACAACGAAAGTTTCACAGTTAAACAATGCAGCTGGAAGAATGTAACATTAAAAAAGCATTTAATTTAGCTACAGTTCTTCACAATCATTTGACAATCAGCAATAAATAGTATTATGACATAGTTTTTATGAATGATTCCGTTATTTTCTCATATTATTTTAGATTTATAGACGTTAGATCATTGTATGAATGCTATCGATTAAAAAGAGAACTTTTTAAAGAGATATAAAACATGTTTGTACCATACATCCTTTCTAAATAACTTGAGTGTTTATAAGTTGTTTCTTCCTTCAAATTGGACCTGAATACTTTTCCTTGCATATTATTTCTAACAGTTCAGTAAACAATGAATAATTATTGAACACTGAATACGAATAACAGACAAATGTTTGAAAATACTACAATTTTAATAATAGAAATATTACGATATATGACTAAATTATAACACAAAATGTGAAAATGTAGAGATAAGAGAAAGAAATCAGTAATAAAAAAACAACTGAAACCATGATGTTAAACATACAATGTACTCTAAGCGAAAATTTGGCATGTTCCTATACAACTTAGACCAATATTATGTCTGGATTTGGCTATCCTTAGTTTTGTGATTACAAGTTATCTTTCACTAGGATGGTGTGTTAAGGACCACAAAAATCCAACCATAGACAAATAACAAGTTGGAAAATTTATGACAGAATACGTTTAAATCACACGTGTCTTCTACCTTTGGATGTCATGTTTCATAGGGCAAACTACATAAACATTTCATTATTAGTAACAATAACAATAGTTATTTCAAACTAACCGGGAATTTCATTTGGGATTAATAAATACCTTCCTTTCAACAAACAGCTGACAGGAGTGCGATTACTGAACACATGTGACTTATTTCATAACATACTAACTAAACAGGAGTTTCACAGATGAAATAACTTCTAGGCATATCCAACATAATTTCTTATACCCACTTACCTATAGGGTAATTTAAAAATATACCAAATCACATGTATAATCAGGCTAAAATCGTTAATTCTTTTTCAAATTGGAATTTTGAAGACGACATCTACTCATAATCATTGAGTTCATAAAAAAGAAGCACATACACAAACAGGAATGGTTCAGTGAAGTTCTAAATGTAAAAAGTTTAAATAAACTAAAAGAATGATCTGCATCATATATATATATATATATATATATATAAAGAAAATAGTCCATAAATTCAAACATACGTCAAGGGAATGTGAATTCAATGGTTGATCGATGACCTTATTTGTCAAAGGTTGGTCTTTTGCCAACTTCATTTCTTCTAGTTGTAAGCATAAATTATTATTTACCGCTTCTAATGTTTTATAACGTTGCTCTTCAGATAATAATACCTGTTGTAATTCGCTTATACGAGAATGAAGTTCATTAATTTCAGATTTAGATGTTTCTAGTTTGACAGTTAATCTATGAAATATTCGAAAAATACAGTGGGGAAAAAAGAAAGTTCATTGATTAATGATATCATACGATTGCTAATATTTTGTTTAGTAACTAATCTAATTAGGAATCAGTGAGACAAATCCCAGAGTAGTAGGAATGGTAACAATATCAGGCATTGAGGTATTATTTTAAATGACATCCAATATAAGGGAATACTGAAATAAATGTGTAACTGTTTCGGGTGGTGTACTTAACATTTGCTACATCAAATTCGTACATGGTTTCCAGACTCCAACTAATCGATGAAACTTAAATAGTGAATAAATCCGGAGGTGGATATACAACTGAAGATTTACTCTTTAAGATACCATAATGTAATAAGAATCTTGCGTTGCTTATGTGATTAGAAGCAAACTTAGAATTGTGTGAAATTCTATAAAGTACGTCAAAACTGATAACAATTTCTGCGCTTAACAAAAAAATCAGAACACAGCCGTTTAGAATTAACAAGTTATCAATAAGGGTAAGTAAAAGCTAGATGTGTTCAAAAGTACTTTACAGTTTCTTTGTAGGGAAGAAAGATGGACAATTATTAGCATATTCTAACAATGGCTTCTGATCATTTCAATGAACCAGTGGACAAATAGTCGGTCGTACGCAATGTAACACCTGGTACACTGGTTGTTGCCATAGAGCACAGAGAAACATGGACGTATTAATACAAATGCAAGAGAAGTAGAAACAGACAAATGATCAGCGACGGTAAAAAGAAACACTAGGTATACACAAACTCAAAATGTAAGGGCTGAGATGAAGTGAATGCATCTGAGTCATTGTGATTTCGAGTCAAATCACCCAGTCTCCAACCACTGGTTACGATAATCCTGGGGAAGTGAACCAATGGTTGAAACCAGAGCGCCTAAATCATTGAGACAGGAGTTCCAAACATTTATCGATATAGCTTAGGATTATAGACAAATGTGATGTTTAAAAGCTATAACCTCAATGACCAATTTTCACTGAACATGATGAAACATTTGAAAGCTCTCATCTTTTTCCGTTAGCTGATATCTTAAGGATTTAAAATCAATTTTTATTACCTTGTAAGTATTCAAACATTCATATCAAAAGTCATAACTTTGAAAATAATTTACATCCATAGAGTGTCTTTGAACCAGAGGATTGTACAAAATAATAAAGCACTCACTAACACTTTCATCGGGGGTTGAGAAACCACAGTCATGTCCACCTATGACTCCGTTAAGGATAGAACTCAAAATCTACTGGCCTGGACCTAAACACACATCTTTAAACCAATGAGTTGTAATTCATTGTTCAACGTTTCCAACTTCAGACGACTGAACATGTTGGACGGTTATTATGGTTGATAACTGTTTTATGTATGAACTTTACAAGCGTTAGATGAAACTTTTGTTAAATGTTTAAAACACTCTCGATTTTCTTAAGCTTATTCATTCCTTTATCTAGTATCGATTTATTTATCTTCATTCAGTTTAAAAGAAAGTAATAAATTTGACATTTTTGATTGTTCAAATTTGGGAAAAACACAGTAAACCATTACGTAATTGAAATTCGTTTTTTTTTAAAAACTATATGCTTACTCTTGTATATCGAACATGATACCCTGTGATTTTTCTTGCTCTGCCGTAAATGTTTTCAGCAAATCAATGTATTTCTGCTTTAAAGAATTCAATTCTAATCTAGCTACTGCTAAATTATCCTCTGTTATTTGAAGCTGACTTCGCCATGATTCTTCAGACGTTTGAGCACTATCGGCTGTATGTTTATATTCAGCTAAATATGAGAAAAAATTGGAACGAACCAATAAATAATATTCGATGATGAATTTTATTGCACAAGTTAGTGCAAATTTTAGGACACTATATATTTTTTCTTAAATGAATCAAGAATTAAATTACATCTTGTTGTGCAAAGAGATAATAAATGATAGTTTGAAAAGGAAAATCTTACTTGAATGCAGTGAATTTTAATATCAAGTATAACTTTTTAGACGCTTTTTACTATGGATTATGACTTGATGAATAAAAGATAGACTAGGGGGGAATGAAAATGAGTCAAGACAATACTGCTCGATTAATCATACAAAATGATAAGATGTGATTCAGTGATACACCTTCATGAGGTCAAAACATGAATCAAGTCTCTGAACGAACTGAAATAAAAGACAAGATTACGAGCCAGAAGAATAGGTTTTCATCTAGTGAAATAACCAAGTGGTCTGAAGGTTGAATTCTCGCTTCGAGATCTGAAGATCGTGTTTTCCACTCCTGTTGAGGTAGAAAAATGGGTACTATTGAGGAGTACTGTACTAAGACGAAACAGCTGTTCGGTACTTTTTGATTTTCAACGAACGTCAACTAATAACATTCTGTGATCCAAACCACACAACTCAACAGTCTCCACCATCCCCCAATACTTATATCAGTTTTGTAAGTTACTACTAGAAATTCACCTAACAAATAGATTTAATTTTTGCCCAGAATATCACTCTTCCTACTTTTAATAAATAACGAACATAGCAAAATTCATTCCACAGATCACTCACAAACAATAGAGCATATCATGAAAAAAGTTACCTCCGAAATGAAAGTGCTCAATACAATTAGTTCATAATGGATATCTGGATATCGTGTTCAAATTTTTAAACGAAAGTGATTATCTATTTCTTACAACCAAGTAAAACTTACAACAATGTAGGTGTAAAATTCATTCAATTCAAGATAGTTAAAGTGTGTCCTTGAAAGTTTGCTAATAAAGTTTTACACTTATCATAGATTCATATTTGACATTAAAGTTGAGCTTGCAGTAAACGAAATAGAGTAAAAATGATTATCATACTTTTTTCTTTAAAAAGATAGAATTACGACAGTTATGAGACGATAACCACTAAATATTATTCACTGTGTTATCCTTTTGTCTAACTTGGGTATTACGGTCATCAAGTTGAGTAGCTCGCGATAACTGTGAACTGCATACTTTTGAAAAATAATAATAGGTATAATTTCAGACTTAAATAGTGTCAGTACTCACTAGCAAGGTTCATTTTAAAAAACCACCTCTCATAAATATAAACTTCTTTATACATTTTAATCCAAACAACTAAACAAGGGCTTTGAAAAGATATTGCAGTGAACGGAGACTCAGATGAGGTATACCAATCTATTATTTTATGTAAAATCACAATGCCTTTGTAAAATATAAAAATCACACATTGAATACATCACTTGTATATTTTCCTTGACTTGTCCTTTACATACTCCATTATTCTTTCAGTAATGTTTTTATACCGACTTCTCACTGTTTCCCTTCCTCTTTTCTTTATTCTAATCTTCTGCTGAGAAGCATTCTACTTGCAATTCCTCCCATATACCACTTATATCGGTACGCATAAGTAGTGCACACTACTATATTTGCAGCAATTACCCTTTTTTAGATGATAAACTGAATAAAGTAAATAAATTGAGTTGAATTATCAACAATTAATGCTGACCGAACTGCACAGTAATGATAAAGTATTCAAAGATGATAGATGAAGGTAGCTTCTTGACAAACAAATGTCAAAAAAATGAAACCTAGATCAGCAGCTGCAGTGATATTGAGAACTATGGAGCACGAGACATCTGTTTCATTCTAGTAAAAGACTCCTCGACAGTGCACACCCATGAACCTCATCAGAGACTGAAAACCAAACCTTCAGCTTCGAAAAGAAATCAACGCCTCATCATAGGAACAACAGGGTAGGCACACAATTCCAATCTCGATTACTTATGAAGAAAGCCATGAGTACTAAAAAACAACACTCAAATGTATTAAGATAACAAATCAATTTTGAAATGTTTCTCAAACTAAAACACTCACCTAATAATTTGTTCAGTTGTCTTTCCTTTGTTTCCCATTCAAATGCTTGATTATTGAAATTAGATTGAAGAATTTCTAATTGTTTCATGATTGGTTGCGTTGCAGTGGTAGTTGTTTCATTCAATAGATCAATTTTCAATTGAGCATCCGACAATAAACCCTAACCGGATATATATATATATGCATTTGTAGAGTAAATAGTTTATTGGTGATATTAATAAAAAAAAGTGGCTGAAATATTAAAAAACAGTTATATTCACTCGAAAACTAACTGAAAATTTGAATTTGTTTTTATCAGAAAAAGGAATAAATGGATGGTAACTGTAAAGAATTATTTATGGATGGCTGTTACATGTATAAGTATTCAGTGACTAGATTATATATATATATATATATAATTCTTTTATCATAAACTTTCAGTTGACTTAATGGCTACTGCAATACGATATACCATTCTGAACTTATTCCCAGTCTATTGGTTACAGTTTCTTACACTCAGTCACTATTGGCCTCATCTTGTATAACAACTATTTTTCGTTTTGTGGTGTGATGTGGTCTGGTCTGCTTGCAAATAAACCACGTATATATGAAATATACGATTCATACAGTGGAGGTTAGTATTTGTGTTCTGAACTGAAAGAGTTGGGTTAGGCGAGAGGCTACTATAAAGAGGACCAAAAAAGGACTCGTACATGACTCACGGCTGGTAGTGCTATTTGATGTATCTTTGTTTTGGCACATATACGACGTCATAGAAGTCGATATTCTGACTGGCACTTTGGTCAAGTTATAATTAACAGGGGGTGTAAGTCATAATAGCACTAAAACCAAAGAAAACGAGTACGTTATTATTGTGGGACTACTTACAAATGACATTTTGCCTGATTTTCACGTGTTTCCAGTTCACGAGTCTTTATTAGGAGCCCGATAATTATTGAGTCTAGTATTGCAGATGCCATATTGGTCAAACTACTCCCTCTATGGTTATTACTGGATGATTTTGACCCCTTTTTATATATTGGGAGAACCAGTGTTTGCGACCAGTCAGATGGGATTACGCTCAACTCCCAGATTTCAGCTAAAATGTTAGTCAACCTAATCTCCAAAACTAGACCAGCATCCTTAAAGACCTCTGGAGCCAACCCATCAGGACCAGCTGCTCTTACTCTTTTCAGATTAGCTATAGCCTTTTGAACTTTAGCTATAGTTAGGGGACCTATTTCAATGTTCCATTCAAGTTGTTTGGAAATGGTGGGTATCCGTAGAGTAGCCGAAGGCCAGTTGAACTGCTCCTTAGTGTTCCAACCATCGTTCGAAACGTCTGGGCTGAGAGCAGATAAGTGTGCCGTCTTTTTACGAGATCCTTTCACTTACACTTTATTTCTTAATTCCAGTTATTTTTATTATTCTGAAAAGCTGTCTTATGTTACCTACAGTCGCTGCCTTTTCTATCTCTTTTGATTTCATTGCCCACCACTTCTCACGGTCGTTTCTTATACTTCCAGTTAACCTAGATGTGACTTTTCTTCGCTCTTTATCGTGTTCAGAGTCTGATGGGATATGTTTACGAGAATCCATCAGTGCAATAGATTTAGCAGAAATCCACTGGCTTTTAGTGACCTTTTGATTCAAGTCATTAATAGATGTTGCTGCTGTTTCCACAACTGTTCATATAACTTACCGAGCAACATCTGGGTCAGCCTTGTTTACGACCCCAGTTGTTCCTGAAATCTAAATTTGGCTGTCTTGTTACTGAGTTCAAATCTAATGCGTCTTCTTAATGTTGTTTTTCTGCGTTCAGCGAGGCGCAAGCAAATGAGTGCTTGTATGAGAGCATGATCGGAGTCCAAACAGGTGTTCTAGGACGAGCGGTAGTTTTTTGTTGAGTCTCTCCAACGATGAATAATGGCAATATGGTCTATTTGAGTCCATCGTTGCTTTGGTGCAGGGGATTGCCATGTTAGGTGATGTCTCTCCTAATGCTTAAAACCGGTGCTTGCTAAACATAAACGATCGTCTGAGCACAGTTGCAACAGACGATCATCCTTATCTGTTCCCGGAGCCGGAATACCAAAATACCCACCTAAATGTCTTTCTGTTTGATTTAAGATACCTACCTGGGCATTAAAGTCACCTGCTACGAGTACTATGTATGAGAGTTTAGCTTTATGAAAAAGTTCAGAAAGCTTTCTGTAAAAGTTATCTTTCAATTCATCCAGGCTGCAGTCAATGAGAGCGTAGGCAGGAATGACTAGAAGGCAATGACGTGTGTCCCTATCCTTCCGAGTTCATACAGAGCCGTACAGCCGAACAGCACATGAACGACTGTTAACGGGGACCCATTCTAATAGTGCTTGTTCTGCCCTCTTACTCAGTGCTATGCCTACACCCGCCAGCTCACGAGAACTAGCCATCGGGTCGCCAGATAAACGGAGGGTGTATCTCGTCGGCTCTCCGTTTTGGCGAGGTGGAGTCAAGTGAGTGACCACACTAGGATCCTGTATGCGTGTTTCGGAGACGCAGCATAGATCAATGGTATGATATTCTACAGTCTTAGCCAAGTAGGCCTACTGGTCAATTTGAGATAGGATGCGTACGTTGAAGGCTCCAATGTGTAGTTTGGAGCGAGGTTTCAGTAGACCTAGGACAGTGTTTTGCGCACTAGAATCTTTGGCCATGGTGACACTTGAGGAGGAAGTCAAAAGAGGGATTGAAAGGGGGGATTGATTATGAATACAGTAATGTTGAGGACTGTTAGAGGTATGAGGGCAGTTATCACTTCCCGATTGCCCACACCATGAAAGGGTCCTTCTAGAAGTACCTGAAAAATAAATTGGGTTAGAGGTGGTCTTAGTGATTTGAGAGCGTGACCGCAGTGTCCAAAGGACAACTGCTAGAGGCCAGTCACACACGACCTTTTTGTGTTAGCTTCGTACTCGTTGGGACTTTACCACTGGAGATGGAAATTCGTGGGATAAGGAGGTGTGTATTTTTGAGGTCGACCGTTTGTAACCCCACCCTTTCTCGTGGAAAGGCAGCACCGCTGTTATGCTGATTGTCTGAAGGAAACACCTAACTGCCGTCACGCCTCTGTACAGTCAGCAGAACGACTTCGCCCTCGGACCTTGGGTTTGCTGCTTTTAGTCTTACCGCTCTTCAACCGACCTGTCTGGCATGGTAGAACCTTGAGGAACGATTGTTCAAGCCAGTATAGCCCGATTGATTCATTATGAAAGGCAAGCCCGACCACCACGTCAAGATAGCAGCAACTGAATTTGATTATATTATTATTATTATTATTATACTGTTTATTGACTTCAATAAACTAACTGGAAAGTAGACAGTAACCAATCAATGAGGCTTAGTTTAATTTCAATTATTGCATCTGTTAGTAGTTTTTGTTATATCTGTAATCTACAAAAACCTCAATATTACACAGCGTATTCCAGTCGAAGTTACTGAGTGTCTATGTTATATCTTCTCACTAAACGATCCATCCACTTTTGTGAAAAGAATCACGTGTAGGAATGTTTCATCACACGCCTAACAAAATAAAAACATGTTCTTGAAACCCTATTTAAATGAAATCGATAAAGTGTTTAGTGTTAAAATAAGGACCGAGAGTTAACCTGATAATACTGAATTTCTTCTCTCCATTTAATTGCTTGTTCTTCATGTTGTGTTTTAAATGCACGTAAATCTCTTGAATTGCTGTTCAATTTCTGTTTCAAGGTTTCGCATTCAGCCTTCGCTTTTTCTAAATCTTCGACACATTGACTTTCAGCTTTTGAATGACAGTGAATTTGATTCAACTGTTCTTTCAACTCTGAATTTTCACTAACACAAAAGATAAACAAGAGAATTAGGTAACTTTTGTAGACTTTTAATAATCATGTTATGATTGCTAATTAAAAGCGAAGTCACAAGCTAAATTGGTGAAATATTTCTGTCAGAAAACAACAGATTTATGGTGGTAATTACTTCAGAATGAATGCTTTAGGACTGGTCTGAATTATTGCTTACATTGAATATAAGGATTGATGTAGTTCAGTGTACTAACCACTTCACTTAACATGGAAGTGTCACCAACGCTGATGTATTAATATCTGATTTAGGAAGCCTAATTGGTTTTCTTCAGCTTATGCTGTGACGTAGATGAAATGTTCATCTGATGACCAAAGAGCAAGTATATTGGAGATCAGTTCATACTACACTACTCCATAGCTGTTAAATGTGGTCTATGAAATTAGAAATCTATAGGCTAAAGGTTTTATTCATAAGTTTCTTGATAATATTGCTCGTGTATCATGAGACGATTGAGTGAAGACTGCATAGGTTAGTCTTAGGCAAACATGCAACATCAGTTGGTGAGGCCGTGGACTTTCGTCAACTGAAGTACAGGTATGACGTACCCCCAACCACTACCTATCTCAATACTTAATGTTAGCTTGTGTGCGAGTAGAGAGAAAGAGAATTCGAAGCGGCCCAAGTTTATCAAGTCACTAACCGTTGGTTTGAGTAATGTTGGTAGATACAGATTATTTGGTTAGGGTAAGTGCGAAAACCACAATCAGCGGTTAAAGATATTTAGTAACATGGGTAGGAACCAACTAAAATGGAACACTCTTCTTCTTCTTAAAACGGAGTACTCTTCTTCCAGCCCATGATTTTCATTATTCCTTCACATACAAAATTTTATTCCTTTGTCTTCGATTATGTTCTCAAACAACCATTGAAACTAAGAATGTTTATGTCAGGTAATTGAAGGGAAAAAAACACAAAAAGCACAGAATCTGGATCAGTCGATAAGTCTATCTGACGTGTTGTAATAAACGCTGCTGATCCAAGCATGAGTCGTCATCCAGCGTAGAAGGGACATTACTAATCAGTTATTCAAGGAATGACCAACTTTCCAATTATATTGTGAATGAACTCTAATAACTACGACACCAAGATTCAGAGTTTTCAGTCAGTTGCTTTTATTCAACAAATAAAATTTTTTTTTACCACGATGTTCAGTCACTAGGGTTGATGCTCATATTGTAACTTAACAAATTGGATATGATCAAAAAAAGACAGAAAGACATGACATTCGATGGGTACTAACTGTGTTTTCATTATACAATAATAAGTATTACATATACAAATAAGTGTATTTAGGATTACAATATACTTACTTGATGAGAGTCTCCAGTTCCTGTGTTTGTTCAGATATTTTAATTTCATTCTTACTGATTTGAATCTAATTAGTATATGCATTAAGATGTTCAATTCATAAGGTAACAAGAAAACAAATTAAATCCGTAAAAAACATTCAGCTAACACAAGTAAATATCAGTTACTTATTTCACTTTTGATCATATTTACTAACATACTTTACTTACGCCTGTTACCCCTCATCAAGGACTATAGGCTGCCCATCAGCACCCTCTATCCAACCTTGTCCTGGATGATTCTTCCTAGTTGTTTCCAGTTGCTATTCATCCATTTCAATGATGCTCTAATTCTGGATCCGTGAGGTTCCCAGCCTACAAATGCATTTCGTGCTTCTCTGGACAGCAACTCCCTGAGTGTGTGGAGCATTTCCCTTTTCGTGACCGCAGTACAAAAGCATCTCTTCCGTATCTAGACTTTGCTTTCCAGCTTGGGCCCAATGGGTTTCGCTGATTCCGAGTACCTCCCAGTTGTATCTCCTCATTTCCATTGCTATTTGATTGGTACTTCCGGTCTCCGACATTGTCCGGACGTTCCATATACCTATCAAATTGATGCTCTAGCTGTTAGAAGAAGCATCGACCTCGTGACTTCCGAAGAATCTCGGTTTTCAACATGAGGCGTCACAATTCTTCCTTCAACTCTCAGGAGAGAGTTTAAATGGTCTAATTTGTTTAATCTGGTTAGCGTTTTTTTAGCACGATTTTTTTCAACGGGATGGGGTTGCAAACCCCATGCCCAACCTTCCTCCGTTACCCGGGCTTAAGACCGGCAGTAACTCTAGAAGAGCTACAGGCGGAGTTTTCGATCATATATTGATAGTAATAGTAATAATATATATGGTGTAAATTAGATAAGTATCAGTTTTAAGTTTATTTTATTTATTTAAACACATAAATATTGGTACAAGGAAGCACCAGATAAATATGCGCCTCACAAATCTCATTGCTGCCCGAATAGCTCAGCGGTAACGTCTCTGACTGTGAAGCTGAGTGACACGGGGTCGAATCCGCCAGGGAGCACCAGTTCCCTCAAGATTACAGGTACACCTTGCTGACGAGTGCCAAGTAGCACGAAACCCGGCCCCCAAATGCCCTGGTACGGCCGAGAGTGGGGAGAGTCTGCTCTAGACCTTTGGATCAAAGGCTCCGGGTGTGGCTCCCTAAGAACACCACCTGCTTCAGTCTGAGCACCTGGGCAGTATCACAGCCCTCACACAAATCGAATCAGTTTTATGAAAATGCAAAGAATGATTATCTAGGGAGTTTTAGTCTACTTAAGATTGCAAGCACATTTTACTAACAAGTGCCAACTAACACGAAACCTAAATAAAGTGGGATTTCCTATTGAACATCTCTACCACCTGATATGAATCATTTATTATATTTATCTATAATTAAGTTATTTAGAGAAACACCAGTGAATATTTCTCAATTTGAAATTAGTTCTAATCATCTCAAGAGATATCAAAAACTAGAGAAACATTTAGAACTGAGAGACAATTAGCAGACATTTTATCTTTTAGCTTAAAACGAATTGACAATGAAATCACAAAATCCTATATTTGGTGGTGTGTGTGTGTATATGTAGAGGGCATACGAATACACATTGATGAAACGTTCAGAGCTAATACCAAGATAACTACAATTTAACTCTAATTCTTATGATAGCCATTCTAAGAAAAAATCTTGGTTTCCCTTATTTTCTTTGACTGTTGACATTTGCTACTATACTAGTCAATGAACCAAAGTTTGTAGTTAAAATGATATAATTTATTCTTTTTTTCCAATTCAGTTTCGTTTATTGTTTCAAGGGTATTTATGAAATGATATCATAAATAATCAACTTAATGGATAATTATTACAGCTGGTTTTGTATTCCATCGTTGCTGATTATTATTCATTCACATCATAAGTAACTTTAGTCTAAATTTTTCGCTAAATGTGATGAAAGTATGTATACGAACATTTTTAGATAACTGATAAAAACAGTTTAGGCCATAAGTTTATTTCTTTAATGCGCTCAACTACGCACCAAAATATCAGAATACATCATGTAAAACATAGATATAACGTAGTGAAGAAAAAATTGGGGGTAATTTTAGTATATTTGAACAGAAAGATGAAAATATGTGAACAAAAATAGACTATAATGTAAGATATAGTTCAATTGAAAATACAACCAAGAAGGATTAGCTCCAGTTAACTGTATTCTATTTATTTCTATGAACAATCTAAAAGAAACCAGTAAAAGAATTGTCTATTGCCTTTTATTCTGACGCATTTTTGATATAGTTTCAAGATAATTTGTACTGTCTAAAACTCCAAACAATGAGTCGTTAAGGTTCAACAGGTATCAGAATAAAAGGCAATAGACAATTCTTTTACTGGTTTCTTTTAGATTGTTCATAGAAATAAATAGAATACAGTTAACTGGAGCTAATCCTTCTTGGTTGTATTTTCAATTGAACTATATCTTACATTATAGTCTATTTTTGTTCACATATTTTCATCTTTCTGTTCAAATATACTAAAATTACCCCCAATTTTTTCTTCACTACGTTATATCTATGTTTTACATGATGTATTCTGATATTTTGGTGCTTAGTTGTACTAGATTTCATGTATATTAGTTAAATAAGTATATTGTTTCCTTTCATTTTAACAGTCGAAAACTGGTCACTTGAGATAAGAAAGCGAGTTTACGCTTTGTCCAAGTCAGTGTAACAATTTATGACATTTTTTACTATTCCCAGTGTAACATTTTAGTTAATATGATATCGGGTTTATATTTTCCAGTGTAACATAATTTCAGGTCAATATGTAACGTATCAATTAAGTGTCATCTTTAATCAGAATGATATGTGTAAACTTTACGTCCAGTGTGAAAAGCATATTCTTATTATTTACCTTATATGAACTTCGTATAGTTTTTTCCAGTAAACCTTTTCATTTATATAATGTTTATTACCCACCATTAGGTGTGTATAGAATCAGTGTATAAATGAATGTAATTGTTTTGACATCGTTGTTTTTTGAAGAGTCAGTAAATCTTCATTATCTCAGTCTTTGAGTCTTCACTTCGCATTATGGTAATCACATTAGTTCTCGTATTTGAGTGTAAGTAATAGGATAGAGGACATCACAAAAACTCATTCATCATATCATTAGAATCCTACTCAATAATATCAGTAATCTAAACAACAACTGAGTTTTGCATCCGCTCCATTATTATTAGTATTGGTAATGTTATATGTAGAAATATATATACTACAGAAATGAAAAGTGAAAAATATTTCAGCGAGGATTGAATACCTTAAGAATTTCCTGTTGTTCTTCCAAATTGTTTATCACTTTCGTTTGTCTAGTAGAATTAGCTGATTTAAAACAAGGTCAAATGAAGGAAAAAACATGAGTCAATGTCTGTTACTTGTGAGATGACAATGTTCATTTGTAAATTGATTTAAGAAAGTTACCAATGTTCGAAATGCCACACAGTATACGTAATAATAGCAGCCATAATGGAACAGAAAACAATTTTCGTAAATTTATCTTTGAATAGCTAATAAAACATATAGTATCAGGTATGATAGCATACTAGTCATACAAATTAATGAAAAAGAAATATGTGGGTATTATCTCGTTAAGGTAACCGTAGAAACCAAGGTGCACTGAAGACTTTATTTGTCCTACCAATATATTCGTTCAAGCGAAACCTGGAGGTCTTGGATTCAATCCAAAAGTGGAGTCATGGGTTCGTGCTGCTGAAAAACCCTGGAGTAAAACGAAACAGTTATCCATTACTGCTAGACTATTGATAATATCCCGAATGACATTAATCTGTGACAAATATAACCTATAAACAGAACCAATTCGCGCAAAACCTCTTCAACAATAAAATACATAAAAATACAGTTAATTATGTCCATAACTGACCAATCAAATCGTTGCTTGAGCCCCGCCACCTTAATCTGGTCTGATGTGTCTGTGACCTATCTCTGATGCATGTGACCTACCAATTAAAAGACATTATTATCCTATTATATTAGTGTAACTCATATATTTTATTCATCTTGATAGGACACGCAATACTGGTCGGTATGTTTGTGCGTTTCACTTAATGGCTGTAGTTCTTTAACTATTGTACTAATCTGATTGTTTTTATGTTTAGAAACAGATGAAGTTTAAAGCCAAGTTGTCCTTGTTCTGACTATAGCTTTCACATAGACTATGGGATCGCCAGTATTGCGTTTACAGTTCTAGTAGTTTATCTGCAGGACATATTAAATCCTACAAATACATTTAAATACATTCGATGTCTAAGAGTTTGTGATTCATTTGCAATGATCAAGTATAAGGTACATTTTCGTTTAAAAATAGCAATGATAATGATTAGACAAACAATTAATAGATAAATTTATAATTACCTAGTTGGATACCGAGTATCTCTTCCTTATTTTCTAAACTGTTTCGCAGTCGTTGAACTTCAGCAGTTAATTGTTCAATTTGTTTCCTAGATGAAAAAACACCCATCACATTACAAGGATAAATCAAATGTAAGAGTCAAAAACAAACAAATTATGATTCAGCTATGGTATTGAAGTACATAACAATTATATAAGTTATATAGAAACAGAAAAATTTACAACACTTTATTTTTTGCCCTCTTTAGTTTGTGCATTAAGTACTACTCGGATATATTCAGCCTCTAAAAACATTGTATTATAATGTCTATGGTGATTTTACAGTCGCTTATCGAATGTGTTTATAAAACAGAATCGTTAGGTAGATTAGAGTTAGAATATAACAGATAATTCAATTTTCGAAGGTCTAGAGACCAGCTTGAAATTCCATAGATAGGTAATTAGTTGCCATAATCCATTTGATTAAAATTTGTATATTATCAAATCTACAACGATTTCATAAAGAACTTCAAAGAAATAAAGTTGAGGAAACCTCCAAAGGAGGTGTAGAGTGAGGCTAACGGTTGAATGTAAGATGAGCATTTCATTCTGATTGGGACTCATCAGTTGGATGGTACATCCTGAAGCGAAAATGACATTATAGATTGAATGAATAACTTACTAAAAACAGTAAATAAATAATGACAAGGGAAAAAAGAACAGTAAAGAAATTCAACTATGAATAGTGATTTATTGGTCTACTTCATCAGAATTATACTAGACAGTACGAGAAAGAATACAAATAGACACATTAACAAGTTTTCTTTATTTATAGAATACATATAAAGAGTGACAGAGACAATAGAAGTACTAAATATACAATTAAACTTACAAATGTGATGATTGTGTCTGCTTGCTTTTTTCCTGTTCTGAACGAAGTTTTTTTAGTAGATTATTTGTCTTTAACTGATCAGCAGCTAATTTATGACCCTCTTTTAATAAATTCTCAATTTCCTCATTTTTCTGCAAAATTACATTCTCTAATTCATTTACACGTTTTCTGTCATAATATTTAGGGGAAGAAAAGACAATGAAGTAATCAGTCAGTCAAAACCAATCTAAAACCTAGCAAATATGTGCATTGGCTCAACTTGTTATATCACATTAGCACATAGATATGAAATTATCATGAAGAATACTAAGCTAGTAGTATTGTGATGTGTGCCACCTATACAGACAGATATAAGTAGTATGTAACAGGCATAGGAAGTAGAATTCTTACTGACAGAAGAGAAGAGAGAAAACCGAAAGCAATAAAAAAAAACAAGAATTGAAGAATTGAGGAGTTTGTGAGACAATCCAATAAAGATGTGCAAATAATGTATTTAATGTATGATTTTCATATTTTACTAAACCACGGTGTGACTGCATTAGACAAAAATTGGTTATCCCCACCAAATCTTCGTTCACTACATATCTGTAAAAACGAAACAGATTAAGTGTAGAATGAATTCGTGAAATAAAAAGTACAAAATAATTTTGAAACTCAGGCTCTAATTGTGAACAAAGAGTGGATGTGTATGCACCGCTGCAACTGACTTTGAGTCATATCACCAAGCGTACTCAACTACTGGACATGGTAGTCTCAAGAACCCTAACCAGATAGTTTATATCTACCAATATAGCCCAGTACAACAGGCAATGACCCAATGGACTGGTATAACATTTTGGTTTGGTCATCCCTAGCTTCCTTCCAACCTACTTCTCCTCAAATCAATATCGCGCGTCGATGTAGGCGATGGTTGGTAATACATGATAATCAATGATTTACAGAATTACTTCCCAAAAATCACTTAATTTGAAAAAAAAAAAGATTTCCTTTCCGAAATATAATTAGCATGAACACCACTGTATAAAATCTAGATAAAGCCACCTTAATGAATAATAAACATCTCAATGGTCAACCGACTGTCTACAATGTATGCATCTAAAATCTATCAATTACATCGGCTTGAGCACACAGACGAATAAATAGATCTGTACACTCGGTAGACGAGTTACTTCATATTCTTCTGAAAAAGTACTGGGCAAAATGTAAGCCTACACTAAGCAAATAAGTCATATTAAATTCAACAGCCGCGCACCATTTCAGTATCCGAATTACCGAGTTTTACTACACCAACTAAGAATTTAATATGACGAAACCAATTTATAGAAACATTTCATAAATTGAATACACTTGGGTGATAAACTTACAGTTCAATTAAAGAATAATTTTTGACTGATATATGCGATTAGTTTTATACTTATGTTCAGAGTAAAATAAACACCTAATGTGGTTAAGTGTCTGTTTAAGTCAGTTTGTTCATAAAATGGTAGAAACTTATAAGTGAGCAACGAGTACTTAACGACAATTAAGTTTGATATAGTCTTTTTTAATGAATAGATAAAATGGATAGCGAACTCCATATGCGAATAATAGAGTATCTGAAGGTTATAATGCTACGACACATTTACTTCGTTCGCAAGACTTCCCGTTACTAAAAGTATAATACTGTGTATGGAAGTCGCGCGTGTGTGTGTGAAGTATGTGAAAAATAATACAATTATTGTGCAACAGCAATAAGTATTAGACAGAAGCTTTAAAATACTGAATTAGCGATTTAAAAAGTCAACAGAATGATTAAAAATTCTATTTCTATGCTTTTGACTTAAGTTATGTAATAACTAGTAGTAGAAGACAAGACTCGTGTTTCGTCTTATTTAAGACTCGTCAGTTGGATATGCCCGCCATATCTCAATGTTGATGTTCAAACTGAGAATAGAACGCAGTATCTTTCTCTTTAAAATTTCCATGCTTACAATAGAACAGCGGGAGGAGAGTAACTATACGTTGAAATTAATATCATGAAAATAGAGAAGAAAAATGCATCTATGGTGATGAAACGTTGAAATATAATAATGAAAGTAACTTACATATCATTATTTACGAAAGGTTTATCATCACCTACAGCACGTGTTATAATCGGAATTTTCTGTTTCACTGACGATAAACTTTTTTTCAATTGGTCTCGTTCACGACAAACAAGCTGTAATCGTTTCTCTGTATCCGATAAACGTTGAGAAAATTCTGAGGTGATACTGGACACATCAGTACTATTGATTTCTTGTGTGGTCAGCGAAGTTCTTAATTGCCTATGATATAATAATAATAATAATAATAATAATAATAATAATAATAATAATAATAATAATAATAATAATAATATTAATAACAATAATAATAATAATGTTAAAACACCAGATGATGTAAACTAAAGTTACCAAAAAAATTAACACTTATAAGTAAAACTTCGACTCTGTAGAAGGAAATAATATAACCTTAAATTAACATATCATGATATAACTGCTTCATGATATATAAAGTCAGTTATAGACGTAACTAAAAATTTAAAAGATACGACGGAAAAAATAAAAACCTTTGTGTGATTATTATGACAAATTTTCAATAAATAGAAACAAGCGATGTGGGAGAACGGGAATTCAAAAATGCATAATACTAGATAATCACTCGTTCTAAAATGTTGTGATCTCTTCAAGATCTGAATGTCTTCGTTCCTATTCTGTATAAGGTTTAAGGTTCACTCTGTTCAAGTGTCCGAAACCAGAGAGAAACACGTTCCTATTGTTTATTGCTTTCTAATGCTTCTCCAACTTTTATTTCGAAATGAAAATATCTTCACATTATACGAAATCTCTCAAAGTCCGGACAGCTTCGAGAAGCCCGATGAAGCCTCCAGAGGCTCTACAGGAGCCGAAGAAATTCCGTCCAATCAGAATGTGATAGGACCTTCTAGAATAATAACGTAGCATGGATTGGCTGGATTATGATGGTGTTATAGCCGATACTAAAACTTATAAATACCTCTATTTCCTTGTACATTTTTGACCCTTATTCAATAATTGCTTCACCTACTTCCTACGTCTTTTGATTTGAGACTGTGGGGTTCTACACGTTCGAGTACGGATAGTTGTATACCGTATTCTGCCGTAATCAAGTATAAGTCGTAACTGTTACGTTACGTAACATTCGAAACATTTGAAGCAACTATAATAGGTAAAGAAGGATCATAACGCACAAATAAGAGATTGGAGGCCAAGAGTTGCTGGACAGTCTGCGAACCAAACTCATTTTGCATTTTTTCCAGTAGGTGATTCTGTGGCGCACGAAGATGATGGACATCAGGAAGGAAATTTCCGTAATCGCAAGAAAGGTTGTAGATTAGGGATATCTCTTGGTCCGATTATGGTTTTTACAGCTCCAATATTCTTTGGGTCTGGTCGTCGTCCATCTTTATCTATAACAAAACCGAGATACCGTACCTACTGCATATAAAAGTAACACATTTTTCTGAGCGGAGACGAAAACCATATTCACCTATGTGTGATAGCAACCGGTCGAGTTTCTTTAGCATGTCCATTTTGTCTGCTCTCATGATTATGATATCGTTCAAATAAGCCGCCGCTCATGGAATACCATGTAACATGGTATCCACAATTTGCCGTCTTGACACCAAAGGGCAGTTGGTTATGTCAGAACAGACCCTTGTGTGTACTGATTGAGAGGCGATCTCTACTTTCATCAGTTACCGGAATTCGTAAACAAGAATTTGATAAATCCAGTTTTGCAAAACTCTTGCCACCGTTCAAATTCGTAAGATGTTCAGTTAAAGGTAAGAGTTACTGGTGAGACTCTAGAGCTTCATTTAGCCCGGTGGAGTAATCTGCATATGAGCGAACGCTGCCGTTGGATTTCTTGACTACCAATATCAGCGCAGCTCAATCTGAGAAGTTCACAGGTCCAATAACACACAATTTCTAAAGTCGTTCTACTTCCTGTTCAACCACGGGGAGAGCAGCATACGGCACAGGTCTTTTGGGTCGATAAATGGGAGTGGCTCCACATATGGGTGTTAGAAATACTTTAGCCTTTGTGCACGCTTCCAATCCTTCTGTAAACACAAGATGTCTTTGTAACACGGCTTTTTTCTGATTACCATCTGGTGGGTTATTGGTTGTGATTTGGTAGCAAATGTTGTTAGTCGAATGGTCCCTTAATTTTAGTGTCTCTATCAAATCTAACCCCAATATATTGAGTGCTGGATACTCTGTAAGGTATAGCGCTGCATTCATTGATATATTAACTTTGGAAGCAGTACAAAATACTCCTACGACCATACTTAACTTCCCATTGGATGCACTGTGTGCTAGCTACGTCGTTGTATTTGCAATTATCGTTATTGGTAGATTCACCTGGCTATCTCTGATGTGCGTTGTTCTTCTATCTTTATGGATTTGGTTTGTACGTCTGATGCATGTTTCGAAAGCTCCTCAGTCCCTATACAAAACCACTGGCCTAATTAATGCAAAAAAATGAAATCAATGTGTCCAATTTTATGGAGGAAATGAAATTGTTACTTCAATAGCATCAGAGCCTACTTTTAGCTTCTCAAGAACAGATGATTACATCATTTATGTCAATATTATTAATCCAGTTCCAATGAACCCCAGAACATAAAAAAATAGAGTCACCACTTAATTCAGTCCCAGAACTTATTTTTGATGCAGATAGTGGTCCAGTAATGACCAATTCAGAAATATGCTTTGTAGTGGGTTCAAACCCAGTTATGCCCGAAGCAAAATGTACAATTGGTGACTTGTCCAGCTCACAGAAAGACGATGACTTTTTAAATACACATGAAATTGTCGTAGTACCTGAGGACGAAGAAACAGAAAATAAATGGAGCAACATAATGAATACAATTGTATCAAATGGAACTCAAAATGATTGTGAAACAAAAGCTTCTAATGAATTAAGTTATTGTCAGAACTCTCAAGTTATTTTACAAGATATGGGTTATATTAATGATTCGCATATTTTGATGAAAATTCTTCCTAAAATGAGAGGAGTATGTTTAATGAATCGAATCATGGTCAGAAATCTTATGCAGTTTTTTTAGATGCTGATTTGTGTAATGATTCACCATTCTTCAATGGGTGGTTCACACGAATCCGAAAGTAAGTAAATCACAATTTTTTCTAATTATCCACATCAAAAATCTAATTTGCCAACAGACTTATCACAAAATTAAGAATGTATCCTGTGAACGACGCAAACTTATTTGATACAACTACATATTAACTGAGAAAGAATGTAAGAAAGTCATACTAAACAGTCTTCGAGACAAGTATTGCTTCATGATAAAACCGAGATCATTAAAATTACAATTAACTGACAAAGTAAAATATCATCTAGCCAGTGTGAATCAACTTGGACCTCTATGGAATAGTGCAGCTGATCGTTAGGATGTCCTAAGTTGTAACAGATAGATGAAAGTGTCAGTGTTATGTCCGAACGAAGAATAAGTGGATGGTAACTGCTAGGATCTATTTATGAACTCATATATATATATATATATATACTGTATAACCATTCAGTAACTATATTCCTTGTATATTCATATTCTTTTTATTATAAGATTCCGTTTGACCTATTGACTATTATTATACGACCTTCTATTCTTAAGATATCCAGCAACTCTTGGCCTCCAATCTCTTATTTATGCGTTATGATCCTTCTTTACCTATTATAGTTGCTTCAAATGTTTCGAATGTTACGTAACGTAACAGTTACGACTTATACTTGATTACGGCAGAATACGGTATACAACTATCCGTACTCGAACGTGTAGAACCCCACAGTCTCAAATCAAAAGACGTAGGAAGTAGGTGAAGCAATTATTGAATAAGGGTCAAAAATGTACAAGGAAATAGAGGTATTTATAAGTTTTAGTATCGGCTATAACACCATCATAATCCAGCCAATCCATGCTACGTTATTATTCTAGAAGGTCCTATCACATTCTGATTGGACGGAATTTCTTCGGCTCCTGTAGAGCCTCTGGAGGCTTCATCGGGCTTCTCGAAGCTGTCCGGACTTTGAGAGATTTCGTATAATGTGAAGATATTTTCATTTCGAAATAAAAGTTGGAGAAGCATTAGAAAGCAATAAACAATAGGAACGTGTTTCTCTCTGGTTTCGGACACTTGAACAGAGTGAACCTTAAACCTTATACAGAATAGGAACGAAGACATTCAGATCTTGAAGAGATCACAACATTTTAGAACGAGTGATTATCTAGTATTATACATTTTTGACTGAGGTCAGGTGCGGTGTCGCGCTTTTCCCAACTTAGACACTACTAACTTATCAAGTCATTTTTGAATAGATTATTTCTACAGACTACAGTTCGCTGCTAAAAATAGAGTTTGACCGGGTTTCAGTTCAATGTTCTAAATATGTGATGCTTGCTGTGCAACATGAAAACCCTAGGGTTTAATTATATTTGTGAATTTTCTTGAACACTGTTAATTTGTCGTAAATTATAACATAATAGCAGTGCAAAGCACTTTGGTTTTCATTAGTTTATGATTAAAAAAAATAAAACGCCTAAAAATAATATAATCACGAAAAAACCACCTAATAAATAAAGATAATTTATTAAAAATTAGTTTTGTAGAAACAATAAAATGTTTAGAGATTGTCGAAAAAATTATACTGCATAGGGGAAAAATTTATATTTCTTTTACATACTCTTGCAATATTGAGACTGAATTCTGTAGTACGTTGTTCTCATGACTAAGTTGCATAATTTTTGCTTCACGAACATTTAATAAATGTTTGACATCGGAGAATTTCTGAAATAACGAAAATAAACAGCATTGAAAAATATCAAACAATAAATTGTATGGAATATTCCTATGTGAATCGTTTGAGATATGCATGAACTGATAAAAGTTTTCAAAGATACTTAGCTAGATTAGTTGGGTCAAACAAAACTACTGATGAATTGATTAAAGTCAGGATTATAAACTATTGGATGTACACTCAGTGGTCTAGAGGTTAGTCGCTCGCAGAGAGACATGAAGGCTTTGGGATCGATCAAAGGTAGGGATCATGGATGCACACTGCTTAGGAGTCCTATACTTGAATAGAGCAGCTATCTAGTGCTTCTTGTCTTTTAATAGCTGACGAACAAAGGTTATTCCATAGTGTAAATTATGAAGTAGTTATAAATATGTATCCGTATGTAATTCACCTCCTAACGGAAACAACCACTACGTGGAACAGAATTCGAAATTAAATTCTCTACCAATAAGGAAATAAACATAAAAAACGTGTTAAAACTTGCTAGAAATCACATTTGTACATCAAAAAAATTTTCCAGATTCACAGTGGACTTTCTTAACAATCCTTTACTCTGTGAGAATGCGTTACTACTAGAAATCCTGGTTATTCATAGGAATTTTCTTACCAATCCCAAATTCAATACGGTTAGCAATCACTATGGATTCTCTAACATCTGACATTGACTACGTTTGCTTTAACTGCTCTCCGACCAATCTACCTGACACCATAAACAATTAAGACATAGGCATTTCACCTAACATAGCTGCTACCCTAATATCTTGAGTGTTGGATGCTTAAAACACTGTACCGTTATTACATTATTAATCATGAACACCATATAGTATCATTTTATGTGCTTAAAAAACTAAACATATAAACGGTCATAGCCTAAATTACCATAAAGATTAGGAACTTTTTGTTAGGAGGTGGATATATTCTCTAGAGGATTTCAAATCCATATTAAACCAAAATCAGTATCCATATATTTAAAGAATAGTATATCTTTAAAAAAAACTCAGGATAATACTAATCTCACTAACCTTAGAGAGGTCATGATAGGCAAATGTCAAATCATCATCAACAGTATTTTGCAAACCTTTACAATTAAAACAAAAACAAACGGACTTATTTTTTACCGCTGAACATGTAGTTTAAGTTTATGAACTCGAAATTATCGGCACAACGCTTTGTCATTTCAATTTCATTTCAATACTTAATACTTTTTGATGAAGGTAAGATCAAAGAACAGTTAGTCATGAGTTCGACCATGGAGTTGTTCAGTATGTAGACATCACTAACATACGGTTTAATTATCTAAACCTTGATTGCGAAGAGGATTCCCATTTTCTATTCTGATTTTTTAAATAGACAAATTAGTCTGTCGAAAATTTAATTTGGTTAGACCAATCAGTCAGTCATAAGCTATGTACAACCTGACATACGTTCATCGATTCAAGTTGCCAAATCAAATCAGCACAGCGAGATAAAATTATCAAGGCGAATCCCAAAATAACAGAAGTACTAACACTGTCAATCGTAGTAGGAAAAATTATGTATAGAAGTGTGGTGTATGCTGCTTATGTCTATCGATATAAGTAGTATACAGCAGAAGGCTAAGAAGATAGGATTGAAAAAGCAGAAAGGAATTGAGAAGTGGGAGAATCATGAAGGATGTAAAGGACAATTTATGAAGATTTGCAAATAAAGTATTTAAGGTACTGTTGTCATATTTTACCAAAGAACTCTGTAATTTTGCGTTAGAGAACAAATTGGTTGTTCTCACTTGAGTTCTCGTTCATTACAGAAGGAATAATTTTAAGGAGGCTTCGGGACTCAGTATCTCAGTGAAGACAAATAATTAATGTTTCTGAGCCACTGAGCTTGATTTTAAGCTATACTGGCCAACAGTTGTAGGCACTGGTTTTTATAATCGCAAGGATCCCAACCAAAAACTGCACCTAAATACCCGGCTCAATATAGTTATCAATAACTTCATGGATCGATGCCACCTTTTGGTTCGCTGCCCCATACCTTTCCTTTAACCTACTCCTACACCAAGCAAAACTGCATCTCGATGTGGATGGTGGTTGAGTACACGCAATGTATATGCCAACCACTTCAGTTGATTAAGATTCATTACCTCATCAAACGACTTTCCATCTCTACCTAACACCCTATGCCTAATTTCAGCATTGCTCATTCAGTGTTTCCGAAATACATGAGCAAAGCTTCGAAGACACCTATGATTGAATACTAGTATCCTACAAATATTTGTTCTTAGTGGTTATGTTTTACACCCATAAAGGGTGAACTAATGAACAGCTAATTTTTCTTGAGTTGGCAAGCGTGCACCTCACAAATGACGCAAGTTAGCAAAAGCCACTCAAACTTTCTGAATCCCTTACGAGATTTCGCCAGACACTAACTCATCGGGGCTGGTGAGACTAACATACGTGAAGTGGTCGATCCCTTCAACTACTGTAATCCCTGTCATTAATTCAAGTACTGATGTAGGCAGGTCCAGAAGCGATATTTTTAGTTTAAATAAAAAAGTAGCATCACAAACATGTTTGCACTGTTCCTCATGGTGATCGTTAGGATCCGTATTCTGTCATTATCTTTACTAAACAAAACTGTCATTTGACAAATTGCTAAACAGTTAGACGATGAGAACGTTACAACTCTAAGAACGTCTATGACAAAGTCAAACAAAAACAGAGAAAATGGAGAACCCTAATGAACACTACTTGAGGTCAGCAATTCTAGTGACAGCTCACTGTTAGCTTCGTTAGTCCAATAAATAATCGAACTCAGTTATGAGTATACGGACGTGTGCAAACAAATAAGAATTATAATGTGGTAAACAGTTGCTGTTAATCCCATGACTGTGGGATTACACTTTATCCAAACACCTAGCATTTGCTACTTGTATAAGACAGGTTTAGCTTAATATTTTATAGAATGTTCATTAAAATCGGTCCCCATTTTATATGATCACATAAAATTTGTGAGACTATATAAACCCATATTTTATACTTGTTGGGACTCGTCAAAATACACAATTACACAATTAAGAAGTGCACTGAACTCCTCCTTCCGCGTTCTAATATGTACCACCCAAATACTCCACAGTCAAAGGCATTAGCGTAATTAAGAAACGTCGAACCTGATTTCGGTAGTGTTAAAAGGCATTTTTAAAAATTGCTATGATTTAAAACAAATTTATGCGCATTATATTACTCAACTCAGTAGACTAAGAAGCTGTTACGTCAAGGTGTCATTTCTACTCAGTTTCCTTAGACAGGAGTAATAAATAACAAGAAATCCATATTTGACACATAATCCAAGGTTGGATATGTTTAGGTTTTACTCTACGCCACGTAATTCAGTGAAAATGATTTATTTCTCTAGTGATAGTAAGTTATTATAAATGTTAAAAATTTAGGTATGAGCAACAAACCGTGTACAGACAAAATACATGCCTTAAATAAATGCATGTCAGTCTTAAGTGCTGTTAGTGTGGTGCGGTCTACTTATATCCATATAAGTAGTATATGGTGTTGGTCAGACATAGAATGTATTTTAGCAGAAGACCGATGAGCAAAGAACTGAAATGAAGCGCAATCGTTTGGAAAATGCATGAGCAATGGAATTAGAGAAAAAACAGTGAAGATCGAAACAATTGATTGTTAATTTTCAAATTGACTATTGATTGTTTGGTTATCAGAATTTACTGAGATAGTCTGTAATCTTTGCTTAAATACGTCCGATTGTCCCCAACCAGTGTTCTGTTCACTACATTGGGAGTATAACGATGGTTTCCCCTTCCCGGTTGGTTACACCATGGAAGTACATATTTTAAGGGAACTGAAACAGAAACTGAACTAGGAGTAGCACTGCAAACTTGGAAGAGTAACCAGTGTCTAAGGGACAGCTCCTTGGGGCCTTTTCTTGGATAACCTTAGATAATGTCACCTCAATCACTTTAGGACCTTGATGATGGACGTCCTTGGGGCAAGGGCATGTGTGTTATTTTGGTCCAAACTTTTCTTAACTCCTAGTCCAATCGTGAGAATGTAACACTGTCGCGGTCACTGGTTGTCTGAGGAGAACTCCATACCGCCGTCACACCTCAGTACAGTATGCAGTACGAATATAACCACGGACTATGAGTTCGCTTTTTCAGTCTTACTGCTTTCCGACTGGCTTGCCTCGTATAAAAGAACCTGAAGTAACAAGTTTCCCAACGAGTTTATTCAACACACTTCAACTGATTCATTACGATATGGAAACACGACCACTAGCACACTAAGGTACCGGCTACGGCTGGCAAAAAATACATATAAAGCAAAAAAAATTGATCTATAAATATATGTTTTAGATAAACTAGGGACTTTAAAAATATTTTTAAACTGAAGTGATTCTTCTAAATGAAACTAATTTTTATCCAACAGCGTTAAATAAATTTTGATTAAAAATAATATGAGCTTACCCATATGTAAATCCTGCGAAACACTAACAGATCTACGATGTTCAGGACCACTAGAACTAAGAAAGTGAAGTAACGAGAAGTTACACGGAAACTTAAAAAATAAACAATAAAACTAAAATATGAAGGTCTATGATGACATTGTATTTTTTGGAAGAAATAGACATGTTGAAAGATGAAACTTTCTCCAAAGTCTGACTTCTTCAAAATATAACGCTGCACACAAATTGACAAACTGTTAAGCATAGACGTTTTCACATCTCCTTAAAATTGTATCTGCTTATCATACAAATTAGAAATTAAAAATGTAATCTGGTGAAACAAAAAAGTGCACGAGATACAATAATACAGAATTTTTGATAAGTGTTGGTTTATGTTTCCAAGTTCGTAACATCAATTATGATTTATGATACCTTAACACTTGGTATAATGACTTGTATGAAAACGAAATCAAGATCTCAGTGATTTCTTAAAAGAAATGACTGACTCATTTAAAAAAGGTAACCGACAAATCTAAAATACTATATTAGGCTTACCATTTGTTTAAAACAACCGGAGCACTAAATCCTCTGAGAGAATATTTTTGCAAATTAAGTGGATTTTGATTGAGTCCCGATGACAAACGCGGCCCTTTAATAGGAGACATAATAGTAGGTGTATTAGAAGAATGTAAATCGTGAACTTCACCACCATTTGTAGAATTACAACACGAAATTACTTCAATATCCGAACTAGTGGTATTAGTATCAAAATCGTCATCGGCACATACTGGTTGAGCAGTGAATGGTAGTACTATGTCAGATGAAGAACGATGAAAAGTAGTTATATCTTCATTTGGAATTGATTTATTCACTAACTGCAATTCCTTTTCTAGGAATGACAAGTGCGAAGTTACATCGACTGATTCTTGTGCAATGTATTCCGAAGAAATTGTTATTTTTGATTCATCATACTCTTTTTCACACAAATCCTGTGATGCTTTTTGTTCAGTGACGGTAGAACAATCATTAAATAATGTAGAATTTACTTCCCACTGTAATACAGAAATATTAAATCTTAATTAGTATAACAAACGAGTATTTAACTCTGAAAGTAAGTATGAATGTGTTGTTTACATCAATAAAAGTACCAAGGCTATATTGCACTGTAACATGTAATTTTCTAAGTAGTTCTAAAAACACTCTTAGTCGACTAAAACACTGTACTTTTAACAACAGTGCCATCAAAAGACCATTCATCATATTTTCGCCGAATAATTTGAGCACCGTCTAGCAAACGCAAGGTGTAAGGGTACCAATAATAAAGCTAAGGCGAATGGGCAAACATAACACAGCACTGAAAAAATACCGCTTCAAGGGTCATATCTTAGCTAATCTAAATGAAAGGATGGATCCCACAAGTACATCACTAGCTTTAGGTGTTCTATATAGAATTATCCCTCATAGAACTATCCAATAATTCATCTCTTACTGAATTCACGTTAACTGATTCGCTTTCTCAAGTCGCTCTGATTTATTCAAGATAAATTAATAACGTAGTACTGTGTGAAAAAAAAATTCAGAAAAGGTAATAAAAAGCAATCTAGTTATTCATAATGTACAACAGATATTTGGCGTGACAGCAAGCAACGTGTGCGTGATGATATATCTGCTTTCAGATAATGAAATATCCTTTCAAATCGTACAGCGAATTGTAAACCAACACTGAAGCGACAAGATAATATGAACTACAAATATATGTATGATCAGTGTTTCTAATTGGCGATTTAGTCACGCAATGTATTGACAGGTCATAAGAAAGTAACAGTCAGTTTAACCTAAGTACACTGAGTTGACTTGGAACTCATATTAAAAATTACCTAGTATAAAACAGTAAGCAGCTGTAACATTTCAAATAGGCCTAATCTAACATACTTTACGTGCTTTGCTTTATTATAAATTTTCATCATTGTTCCTTATGAAATTAAGAAGATGGCAAGTGTTAACATTACACATACATCAAGCAGACACTGTAATATCCAATAAAAAATTGAATTTAAGTGGTTTATTGACCGCTTGTAAGACACAATATCCCTTTTCTTGTTAACCTATGAATCAAGTTTACCTGATCTAAAAATTCTAGGTTGCTGTATGCACATGAAAAAATATGTTCGAAACCTTAAGTAGACAAAATTATCACCAATAACATGTTCGAAATTAGATATAATGGGATTATTTGGTTATTTTATTGACTGTAAGATGGGATATTATTTTATCTAAAGAAAACGTGTGCATAAATTTTTTGAACACAACTCTGACAAAAACGGAGAACTACATGCGTGAAAAAATATTTTGGCAACATTTTAAACAGAATGAGCGGGAAATCAAGACGAATGCAAGTAATTCTGTCTAGCAAAAGCAAGTGACAAGTATGTACATAACAATAAAGCTGTCACATGTAAAACTTATCAAGTGTTTTAGATTTCAGTGGAATGTCACAAACCCTTGTTCCTGAAAGGTGCGCCATACATAGATTGTAGAAATGCAAGAATAACGTGATATGTTCTTAAAAAATTGAGCATCAAAATTTTACCTCATAAATATGAATGTATCGCTGTTTATATTCTATCCAACAAATAAACTAACACGATCGTGACAAAAAAGATAGCTATTTGTAAAAGTGTTCAAAACAGTGAGTGGAAATGATAAAATAGCACCTGCTTGTACATACATTCCTATGTAGAAGAAAAAATAAGTTGTGAAGACCTACCAGCTCATCAGTTTTAGTGTTCTCATCAGTTAGCACCTTATCAGAATCATTGGGTGAAGAATGGTCTGATTGATCGTAAATAACATTTTCCAGAGAATCTGTAAGAGACGAGTGATGACTTCCCAACCTTGTTGAACAAGATTTCTCCAAATCTGCACACTCGCTGCTTACTTCACACTCCGACTTCTCTGAAATTAGGTAGTAACCAGCAATGCTAATTAATGAATCTAAGAATGAAAAAAGTTTTCTGCCTCACCGTACTAATATTAATTAAAATGAAAAATACGAAGTAAACATATGAATGCAATACCAATAAAATATAAAACATTACTTGTAATTATGTTATTCTTCAATGTTAACGACTTATTTTACAATCCATTTCCTATGCCATCGAACTATAATTTAATTTTATACAGCTAAAAGGCTGCATCTTTATTTTTGACGATGGAACACTGAATTTAGATAAAATAAACAGTGGGCGTGCTAGTGCTATCGCAAACAAATAGCTTATTTAAGAAATGAGAAATCCTAAACTAAGGTTAGTATCACTACTACAGAGATTATCTAGATACAAAACGCTTTGATGTGAGCGCCTATGTAAACTAATCGTATCAGAGTAAAAACTGAAACAATGTATGAAGCTTTATCAAAATGTAATTGTTTAGGGCTCCATGCTTCCTTTGAGTAAAACAAGGATGCATCAAAAAACTTAATTGATTCAAACAATACATGTAGTAAACAAAAATAAGAAAAATGCAAAAAAAGAACGGTAACACTGAAGGATATAGGACAATGTGATGTTGAAGACGTACAGGGAGATCATAATGAATACAAATTGCTTAATGTAACCAATTTGAAGTGCATCACTAAGTCTATTATTTATAATTATCCATTTCATCAATCCCTATTAGAAAGCTGGCTTTCTTAAATTACCGAACCAACAGACAATGATATGTAAAACAATCTATCGATCTGACTCTATTTAAATATTTTTCAGTTTACACGCACAATTATAACGGCTGGAAAAGATTCACACGAGCAGTCGTGAGACAATTGGACGTTAGACGATCAACATTCGATTTATATTAACTTGTCACAAGTTCTGTATTTTCTGATCATTCTTGTCTGTATAATATCTTGGTTTGTATGAAATCGTTTCATTTCACTAACACAATTTTTTGTGTCGAATTTTTGTTGTTTTCTTGGTCAGGATTCGTCTTACAGTCAGTTATTACTAAGTCGCTCCAAACATTTTGTATCTTCAACCGATCAAAATTATATGGCAATTCAGATTGTGTTTACAACTATCAAGATCACGATCAGTCAGTCAGTCACAACGCAGAACTTTGTACGTACGTTCATCAGTTCGAGTTGCCATACCACATTAGCGCAGAGACGCAGTTGATTCAAATCCCATAGTGGTAGAAGTAGTAACAGTATAAGCATTATGTGAAAGATTAGGGTTTGAAGATGTTATTCAGGGAGTATAATCCTGTGACATAAATTTGGAAAGAGAAAATAAAGATAGGGACATGAAGAATTCAGAAGATTAGAATTTCATAGAACACAAAGAGTGGATGCACCTTCGCCACTGCAAACGATTTTGAGCCATGTCATTCAAGGTCTCTAACCATCGATTGCTATCATCTCGCGAATCCCAACCAGGTAGTCTACACCTACCAGCATGGCTCAGTCCAATTGTCAGTGACTTCATGCCACGTTTCGGTCTGGCCGCCCCTAGCTTTCTTCCGACCTACTCCTACACCATGAAACATTGCACGTCGTGGCAGTCGGTGGTTGGGCATACGTAACATGTGTCCCAGCCATCTCAACTGATGAAGTTTCACCACTTCATCAATCGATTTGCCATCCTTACCTAGTACCCGTTTCTTAACAATTATATTACTTACCCGGTGGTCCCAGGATATACGAAGACATCTATGATCGAAAAATAGTAGCCTACGAATATCCTCTACTCTTACTAGCCATGTTTCACTGCCATAAAAGTAGAACGGAACGAACTGCTGCACAGTATACCCGACCTTTTGTTGCAAGACGGAAAACTGGCCTACGCCATAAATGACGCAAGTTGGCGAAAGCTAGACGAGCCTTCTGTATGCGTGCTGAGATTTCGTCACACACCAGACCACAAGGGCTGATGAGACTCCCAAGATAAGTGAAGCAGTCAAAACGCTCAACTACACTCCCTGTCATTAGTTTAGGTGTTGATGCAACCAAATCCTGAAGTAACATTTTGCACTTGGAGGGAGGGAATTGCATTCCAAAAATGTCTGCATAGTTGGATAAAGTGGTCAGAAGAGTCTGCATGATGCCAGCATCTTCACCAAATAAAAATATGTCATCGGCGTATTCTAAGTCAACAAGTGAGCCTCCCGGTAAAAGTTATACTCCTGGAGATATAAATAATTCCAACGTTTCTTCCAGCTAACTTGTCTGGACCTCTTCAGGGAATAATCAAAATCATCAAAGAAATATATAGTGTTTTTTAACAATCATATCAAAATCTCTACTACTTTTTAATCCAATCATATTTGGATGTCGAATTTTTGTAAACAGGATAATATGAGTCAGTTGAATGAGAATCAAGTGAAAAATTCAACGATGTGAATTAAAGGAGACTGCATAAATTGTGTGTATGTATGTATGTGTAAGATGAGTTATTAATGAATGATATTCAGTGTTGATATGTTTCTATGTGAAATAAAAGTAAAAATAAAAGTGCAAAATGAAGGTTGAAAAGTTTTTTCTGAATCATCGAAATTGCAAATAAAAAAAGAATCATAGAAGGGGTTTTGTGGAGATTTAGTATTTATCATTGTTGAAATCATGAGTCAATTGAAGCTAGACCACCATGGAAAACCTGGACGGCCGTTTCGTCCTATTATGGGACTCCTCAGCAGTGCACATCCACGAACCTGCTCTCAACTTCGTGGATCAGTTGGCATCCAACGGTGTTAATGTCTAACTTCAACCAATCCACGATATTGAGCGACCGTTCACCAATTGTCCTCAGTGAGATAATATCTCTACAACAGACCTGGTAGAACTCCACTGGCCACTGCTTCCCACTAGAACTCAAGGAAATATCTCTTGAAGTCAGTCACTAGTGAGCATATGATTATAGATCAGAGGGGGTTTTGTGGAGAATTTAGTATTTTCACAGTTGAAATCATGAGTCAATCATGAGTCTCACTGAGGACAATTGGTGAACGGTCGCTCAATATCGTGGATTGGTTGAAGTTAGACATTAACACCGTTGGATGCCAGCTCAGTGGTCTATCGGTTAAGGGCTTCGGCTCGAGACTGGTAGGTTCTGGGTTCGAATCTCGCTCGCGAGAGCGGGTTCGTGGATGCGCACTGCTGAGGAGTCCCATAATAGGACGAAACGGCCGTCCAGTGCTTCCAGGTTTTCGATGGTGGTCTAGCTTCAATTGACTCATGATTTCAACTGTGAAAATAAGAATCATCAAGTACATAATTGTAATGCTAAACATAACTCATATTGATTTCAGTCATAATAACGATTCATGTGAAGTAAACAGGTTGAATAAGAGAGAAGGTCAAATTACTTGTTGATGAATATTTGCCAAATGGTAGCTAGCTGAATACCATTCTTTCTGTTTAGGATGTTCTTATTCGCCTATATATACAGCGCTTCTGCTGTCAATCTTTCTTTATGAGTGTTGAAACCTTTCTGAAGTATTTTGGCCCCTTCAAAATTAATCATGTGTCCCGTTTCTAACGCATGTAACGCTATTGCAGACTTATTCTCAAGTTTCCTTAAGTCAACCGAAGTTTTGGGAACATCTTTAAAACATTGTTTGTGTTCCTTCAACCTTACCTTCAATTGTCTGCATGTTTCTCCAATATAAGCTGCATTACAATCATGACAATTGATCTCATAGACAATATTTTGTTGTTCTTCCTTAGGTAACTTATCCTTAACCTTCACCAATGACAATCTTATAGTGTAACATGTTCTAAAATACACTCTTATATCATGCTTGTTTAAGATCGGTTTGATTTCTTCCGATGTTTCACTACGGTATGGTACGACTACAGTGGACTTCCAATCTTTCTGTATACATTGTAGTTTAGCTTTTCTTTCCTTTCTAACAACCTTCTTTAAAAACTCTTTTGGGTAGCGAGCGGGATTCGAACCCAGAACCTACCAGTCTCGAGCCGAAGCCCTTAACCGATAGACCACTGAGCTGGCATCCAACGGTGTTAATGTCTAACTTCAACTGATCCACGAAGTTGAGAGCAGGTTCGTGGATGTGCACTGCTGAGGAGTCCCATAATAGGACGAAACGGCCGTCCAGGTTTTCCATGGTGGTCTAGCTTCAATTGACTCATGATTTCAACAATGATAAATACTAAATCTCCACAAAACCCCTTCTATGATTCTTTTTTTATTTGCAATTTCGATGATTCAGAAAAAACTTTTCAACCTTCATTTTGCACTTTTATTTTTACTTTTATTTCACATAGAAACATATCAACACTGAATATCATTCATTAATAACTCATCTTACACATACATACATACACACAATTTATGCAGTCTCCTTTAATTCACATCGTTGAATTTTTCACTTGATTCTCATTCAACTGACTCATATTATCCTGTTTACAAAAATTCGACATCCAAATATGATTGGATTAAAAAGTAGTAGAGATTTTGATATGATTGTTAAAAAACACTATATATTTCTTTGATGATTTTGATTATTCCCTGAAGAGGTCCAGACAAGTTAGCTGGAAGAAACGTTGGAATTATTTATATTTCAATTGCTGAGACTATTTCAAATATAATTTTTTCACATATAATGGATGAAAGTGTTACCTTTAAAAGCATGTCAACGATAAAGTTAAACAAGAATGGGGAGAGTGGACAACCCTGACGAACACCACCTGAGGTAATCAATTCTGATGACAGTTCGCCATAGGCTAGAGCCTGGTATAGCTGTTCTTGTGTTCGAGTAGAGAGCCTTTATGAGGTTAATGTACTTCTTTGGTACTCCTTTCAGTGACAAACACTGCCATAGAACCCCACGATCAACAGAGTCAAAAAGTACTACGATTGTGGGACGTCTGAATGTATGTCTATGTTCTAAGACCTGACGTAGAGTGAATATCTGGTCTATGCAACAACGTCCAGGTCGAAAATCAGCCTGGTTTTCTCTAGTCTGCTCTTCACGAGCTTTGGTTAGGCGTCTCAGTATTATTGAAGCTAATATTTTAGACACTATGTTAGTCAAGCTGATCCCTCTGTGATTGTCACAAGAGGACTTTTGTCCTTTCTTATAGACTGGCACAATCATTGATTGGGACCAGTCAGATGGAACTACGTCCAGTTCCCAGATTTTACCTAAGACCTCAGTCAATTTCGCTGCTAGTACTGTACCACCATCCTTAAAAATCTCAGGAGTAAACCTGTCAGGTCCGAGACCGAATCCCAATAACATTAGTTCCAAATATATCACTCGATGATTGTATACAGCCTCATCAGCCGCTTTGCCATCATTGTTTAATATTCTACTCCTGATAATAGTTACACCTACTGAGTGGTTCGACTAGAAAGGAAAACTTTTGCGCAAACAACTATGCGGAAATCTGACTTGATATTTATCTCTGCGGCGTCGTATGTTGATTATCACTGACTGAAATATCTATGATGGAATACATGGAACATGCACGTCTATATTTCCAAAGACGAAGTTTCAAAACATAAAGTAATGAAGGCATCTCTGTGTTATATTTTTCTGCAAAAGGATAACTGGGGGATCTACGCAACAAGAGAAGTAACTTTTCAAAACCCAAAAAAACTGTTACACCCAAGACTTAGTTAATGGTGATCAACGGCGGCCTGCTTGGATATCTGGGCTACCTGTTCCTGACATCAGAATATTTCAAAAAGTTATCTGTTTTCATGTTTGTTTTAACACATCATTACGCCTGTTAGTCTCATAACCTATTCAGGTATGTTTGTGAAGCTCAGGACATTTCGCTTTACAAGTTACAAAAGAACTCAATCAGAGACATCATGGTTCCTGGTAATATGCACCGAAAAGAATATACATTATTCAGATGTTAATTTTAGGACTGATAACAACTGACGACACTCAATGTGTCGCAAGGATCGATCAGGAAATGAGAGGAAACTTGTTGAAGTATTTTGTGCTGAGAATCCTATATTGTACCAAAAATATAATGTTGAATAAAGCCACTAATACTAAATAATAACAATAATGACGATGAAACTATTATAATGATCTAAATGATCAATTAGCTTACTTAGCCTACGTATCATGGCTAGACAACAATCATATAGACTAGTCCTAGAGAAAAAATTTGTATTTTCAGTCAAAAACGAATCTTATAAACCTTTTACATATAGCTGAAAATATTAGGTCTGCGTTGTGTCAATTTTTCACTAAAATATGTTGCCTATGTGCTTCAAGTTTACGGGAGAATCTCAGGTAGATGACAAGCTCGTGAGACCTCAAAGTGATCGCTACTTGTGAGTAAATAAAAAAAACAGGAAACCCCGATGAATATTGGTCAACATGGCTACGTCGGAAGATAAGGTCTACCTGCGAATCAAAGGAAATGGATTGTACGGAAAGTTAGCAAGTTCTACTGAGTTTGGTGATATGTCCTAGATAAGGGTTGTTAGAGCCCCCAAATGCCCTGGTACGGCCGAGTGGGGATAGTCCGCTAGTCCTCTCGAAATGCTCTCACATGGCCAGCGAATATATAGCCTCTACCAGGGAAGTCCTACTCACTGCCTTCTCATGGTGGGCGTGTTGTCGACGAAATTGAGAGGACGTAAAGCGAATGTCCGGCCCTTTAACAGGGTTGGTGGACACGAAAAATCCACCTAGGGGAGTTGGAAAACCCTGATTACAAACCAATGTCGCGCATGGGCTCAAGTATCCTGAAGGAACAAATGGCGTATGAATCAATCGTTGATCACTGGCTACCATGGGACTGCATCTCCTCACGATGCTCCACTGCCTTGTGGATCAGATCTTTCGGTCAAAGGCTCCGGGTGTGGGCCCCTAAGAAAATCACCTGCTTCAGTTTATGCACCTAGGCAGTATTACAGCCCTCAAGCAAATCGAATGAGATTTGTGTGGCGCATATGTATATGGTGCTTCCTTGTACTAATATTTATGTCTAAATAAATAAGATAAGGGTTGAAACCTGTCTGTTTTCGAGCCTTAAAGTCGTACTCATGTTAGATCCAAGGGTTTTGGAAACTATCTTAGTTTGATTTCTAAACTGATGAACTGTGAAAGATTTTAAGCTTAATTAAAGATTAAAACGATTACCAAACAAAAACTATCGAGAGAAATTGTCCAACTCCCATACTTTAACTAACTCGAGTTGGCTTACCTGAGAAACCTGGATAACTACTCTTAAACGTCACTAGATTTATTGCATAGGAACAAACTCTAGTTCAAACTGATTTCATTTTAATCCTAGGACCTAGATCCTAAACCCTGATATCTGTATCTTATCCATGTTATCAGTGGGTAGCAAGCGGTCGAAATTTTGTTGGACGTTATTCTTTTTCAGTACTTTGTTTGTTGCTTTTATCTGCTCGAAGAATAGGCCATTGACTAACCTATCTATCCAAAAGTAGTTGCTGAAGTGGTCATTACATATTCCTTAGTACGATTTAAACAACTGTTTGATCTAGACATTTGATTGACAGTCGATTAGTTTCACTAACCTTTATAATAAAGTTTACAACCAACGTGGTTAGTCTGTACCTCGTAATGAATCCCACAATACGCACCTTGGTCTGATCAACCATGACCGGAAAACAGATGACTGATAAGCTACTTTGAAGTTTCAAAAAGGGCAATGAGTAATTAACCTGAGGCAGAGTAATCCTAGAGCAAACTTTGAAACCTTTGATATGATGCACATTTGTCAAAGTAAAGAAGTTTACATCTTAGCAAGACCATAACACTACAAATTTAATTCCAGAAGAATACATAACTTAAGACTACAGGATGTACGGGTTGAGATTATTAAACAGGCCCATGTATTTTTAAAGGTTGCTACTAAAATTCGACTCGGTATTTCAAATAACGACACAAGTTAGTATTCAAACCAAGGATTCTACATAAGCTCCACTAAATACCATAGCGTTACGTGATACGCTAACGTACATAGTCTAAACGACATAATGGCGTTAACGCCAAAATAGCCGAGCGGTATTTCAACTTAAGGATTTCAAACTTAAATCCAAAAAGTTCAAAAAAATATATTTGTTTGGATCACAGCAAAATCGTAATCAGATCACATCAAGAAGTACGCCCGTGAACATCCGTACACAGAATAAAGATCCAGGAACAATGAAACACAAACGGTAAAATATCTACAGTGCATTTTTTTCATCATGTTTCACTAGTGTTCCTTTTAGCCTGCTGTGTATAAATGGTACGAGGAATAAGGAAGTAAAATAAAAACAGCATATCAGAACTTTATAGGACTAAGCATAGTGACATCAAAAAATAACCCACTCGGTTTCGATTCGCAACGACTTGATTCATTTAGTTCAGCAGATACTGTTTCTGTTACGTCAAATTGTCTAGTTGAGATTTCCAATATCGTTGGCAGTGCGTTACGATCAGTAGCTTCATCCGTAATATCAAGGACTTCATCTATTTTCTGCTGAGCACTTTTTAAGGCTGTGATTGCCAGTTTCGATATGTTGCCTGCTTTCTCCAATGAGTTCCACCAACTCATTTCATAGCTAACTTGGTCAATAACCTTGAGGTAGAGAACTAAATTTAAGAGGTGTTTCCGCCAACATTCAATCTAACATATTCACGTTCTTTGTTTACATAAATATTACACCTCCACAATATACACTCACCGCTCACGTGACACTATACGCTGTCAGAAATAGTACGAACTTCTTTTGCTACTTGTTACTAACATTGACTACGTACTTCAACTTTAGTTTCGAAAACATGCTGTTTTCTACGCAGAGGGTTTTGGGTTTACCATGACTAGCCCATTGCGGTTATTCCATCTGCCGGAAAGACCGATCGGTTTTTTCCTACTTGTGTCACGTTCTGACATTTTCAAGTATTCACTTGTTAACTTTGGCTGTCTTTATATGAGTGCATGTACACTTCTTATCCTACTTGCCACGTGTCTGTAACCTATTGTTATCCGACTATAGATATTGAGTTCAAATGGTTCAAATGGTTGAGGACGGAATAGAAGAAGCTTTCGCTTAACGGGCTTCCGTGTCTGGTAGCAGTGGATCACCAATACCTCCAGGCAAGAACCTAGGTATCTGAATGATAATAGAGGGAAAAAAAGAATTTGGTAAATCATAATAATATGTTATCCTTAGTCCTTAAGAATAAGTCAAGTTTTCTCTTAAAGGACTCCTGGGAGGTCGCTTGGATTAGCTCAGTCGGCAGCGAATTCCAGCACTTGACAACTCTAATGGAGTAGAAGTTGTGTCTGCAGTCTGTTCTGCTATGTAGGGTCTCCAATTTCTGGGTGTTACCTCTCAGGTTAGTGTTATGACTAAGCTTAAGAGGTTGTTTAAGGGGATGACCAGAAGTATTAAGGATACTATAAGTCATAAGAAGATCACCTCTAAGACGCCTATACTCTAACGGGTAAAGGTTAAGTGATTTGAGGCGCTCTTCATAAGGTTTGAATTTGAGGCCCCGAACTGATTTCGTGGCTCGAGTTACGCATTGTCTAATGTATTTGGCTCACTCACCTCCATTTTTCATGTCTTCGTTTCTCTAAATGTCTGTCTTGATAAACAAGCGCTTGGAATAAAGTCTTCCAACCCGTATTTGGCTTCTTATCACTGCGGTCGCACGTGGGTTTAGCCTAGGTAATATACGAAGTTAAATAAGAGGTTTATGTTCATGACATATTCATATGTTCATCCAGATCGGGGTCAGATCGACTGGCCACGAAATTCTTCATCTAGGATGCTCACCTTCTGAGTTTCACTGGACATACCATAGCTAAAGGCACTCAGTCATGTGTCTGCACAGTTCATGAGTGGATGTGCCGCGCCACTTTTCCTTCGCAATTGTTCGTATGAGTTCTGATCGACTTAGTGCTGCTGTGGTGAAGTTATATAATGCGTTACTTAAGAGACAAATGGAAAAGGTACGCGAATCATATAGAAAGTCTAAAATATTAGGAATCGGGAAGAGTTTGAGCTTGCTGGATTAAAATGTAAAGTTGTTACTACAGAACTGATTCTCCGCGGCAATTGCTTTGCTACGTCAAACTGTTGGTCAAAAATGAGTTCACGTAAAGTTCAGAGCTTCTCTAAAACGCAGCGTCATATCCCTATGAAATTCATGAGGTATTTTTGATGGCGCCGGTAGAAGTTACAGAGAATCGCGCGGTGATTTCTGTAATTTTTCAATAGAATGGACGGTTCCAGCCTAGAGATATTTGTGATCCACTGTTACTAGACACGGCAGCCTGTTAAGCGAAAGCTTCTCCCATTAAGTCCACAACCGTTTGAACTATTTGAATCCCATTGCCTAATAATATTAGTACTCTTTCCATAAGTGCAGTATCTTTTTTAGGTGGGATGATGTTAGCGGAGGTTTCCTGAAGATGAGTTGTGGAATGTGTACTTGAGACGATTTTCAGTAGTAGTCAGGGATCAGGTTACATGGAAATCTGGGCTGATATTCCTACAGAGCGTACATCAACTTCGTTGAGGAAATCTAGTCATTAATGATAGTCAGAACTTTATAAAAGCTGTCTCCAGGTGCTATAAAAATCGAGAAACCATGGGATCTATGCTCAATTACCATTGTTACCAATATTAAGTGCTTGTTAATATTGAGATGGCTAGGGCTTCTTGTTGTCAATTCATTTGTTTCATTTATCTTCTTAAAATTTGGAACGTTGATGATAACAGACACGCTAGTATATGATTGATCTATCATAAAAAATGGGAGTTATCCAGCCAAAATTAGAAGAAAAGATTTGAAATTGTGACCCCAACAATTGAATTCAGTCAAACACCTCATACAACAGAAAAATGCCTCACTAATTTATTATATAGTCACTATACAAAGATGAGTAATCATTTTTGATTATTGTAAGGAAATTTGCCACTTCTTTTCAAGTATATTTCTAATACTTCAGGCTAGTGATCATAGTCAACAGTAGAAAGATAATGGCCGTTTAGATGTTTGAAATGAGTGTGTCCATACTTCCAAAGTCATGGATAGTAATAATGTTAGACAGAAATTGATGAAAGATGGTCAAAGGATCTCGTACTTTTCTCCAATCCTTAACGTTTCCTTCCTATAGTGAAATCTGAAAATCCGGACGACATAAGTCAAACATCGAAGCATACTGCTCGATATTTTCAGGACGTCAAATTTAATAACGATCTTTTATCAACGTAATGCTGTAGCCACAGAATCAACTATGTCCAAGTGTATCTCACGTACACTGTTGTATGGATAGTGAACTAGAAAAGCTTGGCCAATGAATGTCAGGACATTGAGTGGATTGTTTTAAAAAGAACACAATATATTCACGAGCTATTTGTCATATGGCTGGCTTCCACAGGCCCCTTGGGTTGTTGGCCATTAATTTGTATAACTGAGACAATTCAATTTTACTTTTTCAATGATCCGTCGTCTTTTTATTTTAATTTTGTGGTGTCATTTTGGGTTGTGTTCAGTAATCATATATAGGTTTGATCAGTCAGGACAAGAAGGACTTTGAGAAATATAATTATTCGTGAAATTGCATCATTTTCCCTCTATATTACACAGGCTTTGAGTTCAATGCTGTCAGATTAAGTGAACAGAATTTATTTCCGGATGCAAGTACCTTTTCTGATTACTATTCCCTGATGAAGCTCTGGATATTTAATATACATATACATTTACGGTCTACTACCTTATTAACGCTTCTCTAATAATAGATCGAATCCCGAAATTGTAGATGTGTCATGACGTGACTACCTAATCTATAAGATCGTATGTGGAAATCACATTGTTGTCTGCACTGAGTCATCCTATCGTAATATCACCAATATGTGATGGAGAACACATTTAGGCTCTAGATAGAACAATATATTTATTATGAATAAGAAAAATAATTTACACAAGGATGACCACCCCTGCAAGGCTGAGCTATGCCAACCAATGAATTGAATCGATTTTTCCACGTTCTTCATTATTTACCTTCTCTTTGTGTCTATTATTGAAAAAGATGTATTTTATAATTGTATGTTCGGCTTGGAAGGTCTTATGGTTATGATCCAATGCCACTACACACTCTCCAGAATGAGTGGACACAAAGTCCTTTTATAGATTCATTGAAGTTTCTTTACGACAAATTGGCAGTTAATCAACTTAATTCTTGAAGGTATATGTAGCTTACTAGCTGCAGAAGTCCAAGAGGAATAAGTCTCGAAGATGTCACATAAAGTTAGAATCAATTATTCGTCGGTGATGGATAGTTGTACAAAAACCATTCAGATGCTTCGCTAATTCAATCTACTAAACTTTTCCACTCACTGGTGTTTTTAAAGTGGTAACAATAATTACAAGCATACGTTTTATAAAAGTCACATCATATGTATAGGAACTTTATCTCCCGATAATTGTTGGATGATTATCTAGAATCAAATGAATCGTCTAATATGGACGAAATCTTGGTCAGTAATTTTGTGTTCGAACTGTCGTTAGATGAACTAAGTGTAGGATCCTTACAACCAAGGTTATGGGTAGACTAGATTCAGTGATATATATAAGACGGCTATGCTCGCCAGCTACAGTAGCCGTTAAAGCGTGCCGGCTGGGTAGTTTCTACAAGTTTCTTGCATCGAACTTTTTGGAGATTCAGAGATTGAGGTGTTTTCTGATGTTTTTAGGAGACTCACTATGCATATTATGCTACTAGCGCCAATCACGAATATCTGCCTCTCCCACTCCCCAGACAGGTCTCTTTCGTAAGGAGATTCTTTAAGAATTTTGGGTCCGTCCACAATTACTATGAATAGTAAGAAGGCGTTTCTAACGTCATTTTGTGTCGTTTGAGGCGTACCTCTTATAAAACAGACCTCAGCGCTTTGGTTTTCGTTGACCCCCCGAATCCGATCGTCAGATGCAGTCAGTTAGTTATTTTGAAATGAGACAAGCACTACCTGTACCTGTGGATAAGCTTAGACAAGAAGAGCTATCTAAACAGGCGTTGTCGAAAGTCGTTGACCAAAAACCTCTTGCATGCTTAGCGAAGTTTTTATTGTAGTACCATATTGCGCCTCGATAATGTGGACAAATTGATCTAAACTTCGCGTGTCATTTTGGCTCCCACATTTAAGAACAGTGTTCTTCAATGTGTCGTACAGTTCCGAAACATCGCTTCTGAGAAGCAGAACGAAAAGTGTATGTTATCGGGCCCGAACGACGTTAGCTGGAATGAGAGAGGTGAAAGAGCTTTAATTCTAAATAACTAAGGAGTTTGTTCCATTAGGATGAAAAAAGTATCCGAAAAAATAAAAACAACCTCATATGTGTAGAAATAAAGATTAGAAATGAAATGTAATGTTCCGAAAAGGAACAGACCCACAGTTTTCGAATTAATATGCCAGATCTCGTTTAGCTTATCAATAAAGATGACACAAGTTTTCGGAGTTCAATGACGCCTTTACACGTAAAACCCTTATAATGTATGTCAAATCTGAAAGTTTCAGGAGCCTTTATTCTAAGTTGTCTAACATTTGGAAAAGGTGTGTGATACGGACTGTCCACTTGTGATCCGATGCAAGTGAGTGACCACGTGCCTTCGGTTGTATGTGACCGATGAAAATAATGAGATTAGAATCAATGTTAAGGACTGAGATGATTTGAAGTATTTAAATTATAGTATAAACTAGTAATCCCAGAAACAACGCAATTTAATCAAGAAGTATTAGATGAACACGAACGAATGCATTGTATTTCCAATTCAAAATCAAGCAATCATCAATACAAGGGAATCATTGGTTCATTGAAACATCACAGGACTTACGGAAATATTTATTTCAAGGATTTATTCACCCTCTCAAATGTCTATTAGTAATTGAATCCTGACGTCTCCATGATGAACTTCTTTTTACGAGGAGGAATAGAATTATTGAATGAAGCTTGATTCTGAGTGCTCGAGAAACTCCTGGGTTTCTCTTGAAAATATCTGCTGGGGATTAGACTGTAGCTCATCAGACTTTGTAGAAGTAATTCATGGAGTTCTAGTCAGGTGTCGTGATCCATGGAGTTGAGACATGCTGATCATCAGTCAAATATCACTGGTGATAGTGAATAGTTAGCATTCACTGGGACTTAATGGTTTAAGGACTAAACACTTTCCTTTAAGCCTTAAAACTTTGGGTTTGATGCTTAGTGAAGTCATGGATGAACACTGTACCAGTAACTATTGATATCTGAAGGTACACTAGATGGCGTACGTTCGTTAAGTACTAATTCGCTACCATCTTAGAGTGGAAACTATGTCTGCGCGCTGAATTGTTTTGGTGAGCCTCAAACTTGTGATTGAGCTACCAAGGCTTGTGTTTGAACTTCTCTATCTATTTTTCACACATCACACTACATCACTTTAAATCGATGCTATCGAATAAACGAATAACTGACAAAGTTAGGATTATTAGTTGTAGCAAAAACAGCCATTTTGTCAGAGAAAAGAGTTAAAAAAGAAAACTTCAAGTTTCATCTGCTGCAGATCAACGCACGGCAATGACTAGAAATACATCTATCAAAAGTGTTACACCGCTGTTTAGAGTCAAGGAAAAGGCTTATGTTAGTTTTCATTAAGGTAATAGACATTGAAGCGGATACTTTGGGCATCGCACTCTTATAAGCGGGATATTTAGTTCTTCCAGTACTCTCGTCGGTTGGTGTAAACCCTATGTTTTCCATTGTTTTCAGACTAAATTTTGTTGTCAATTTACTTAAGATTGCTTTCTCGGATTTTATGATCTTTAAAAAAGCTTGATGTTTTTTATCTTGTGCACGAAGTGTATAGTTTTCATTTATAACATGGCGCGGAGACTATTATTATTTTTGAGTGACCTTTGAATGGTCCTAATGTGACATTAATTATATTCACTTACATGCTGGGGTTAAGAGTGAGGAATTGTGATAAGGATTTAGAGTTGGACGTTAGGTTTTTCATTATGAATAATGCTAGTTAGCAATATAGATGGATGAATTCCCCTCCAAGATTCAGGGCTTGCTATCTTAAATCCAGTTGGTTCGTCCCCAAGTTATTATCTCTTATACTCAACTCTGCAGGCTATTTGCGTACATTTCACAAAGTCACATCAGCAAAGAGATGCAGCTGTCGACTTAGATCGCAGTGGTAAAAGTAGTAATAGTATGAGCAGTAATTCGAAAGATCAGGGTTTGAAGATGTTATTCAAAAAGTATAATCCAGCGGAATAAATTTGAAAAGAGAAAATAAAGATAGGGACATTAGAAATTCAGATTAGAATTTGGCAAAACACAAAGATTGGATGCACCTACGGCATTGCAAAGAATTTTGAGCCGTGTTATTCAAGGTCTCTAACCATCGGTTGTTATCGATTCGCTGATCCCAACCGAGTAGTCTACACCTACCACCTTGGCTCAGTTCATTTTTCAGTGACTTTGTGGATTTGTGTCACGTTTTGGTCTTGCCCTACCCCAGCTTTCTTCCAACCTACCCCTACTTATTTATTTAAACATAAATATTGGTACAAGGATGTACCAGGTACATATGCGCCGCACAAATCTCATTTGATCTGTGTGAGAGCTGTGGTACTGCCCAGGTGCTCAAACTGAAGCAGATGGTTTTTTCTTCGGCGGCCATACCCGGAGCCTTTGACCTAAAAGTCATCCACAAGGCAGTGGAGCATTGTAAGGAGATGCAGTCCCATAGTAGCCGGTGACCAACGATTGATTCATACGCCTATTGTTCCCTCAGGATACTGAAGCCCATGCGCGACATTGGTTTATAATCAGGGTTTTCCAACTCCTCTAGGTAGACTTGCCGTGTCCACCAACCCGTTTAAAGCTCCGGATATTCGCTTTTCGTCCTCAATTTCGTCGACAACACGCCCACCATGAGAAGGCAGTGAGTAGAACTTCCCTGGCGGAGGCCTTCTCCTACACTATGAGACATTGCATGTCGGTCATTCAATCAGCTACAACGTAGGACCAGACACATATATGCATCGGCCCAAGTTGCCATACTTCACTCATTAGCACAACACCGAACTCAGAAGCAGTTAATTTAGTGGTGGTAATATATAAAAGAAAGGTTGTATATAAGGATAAAGCACAGGAAGAAAGACAAATATGTTCATGTACTTTAGGACCACCGAGTAATTAACGCCTTGATTAGAAATAGAGCACTAGGTAAAAATATGGAAAGTCGATTGATAAAGTAGTAAATCTTCAACTGAGGTGGCTGGGACATGTGATACCTATGCCTAACCACCCTCTACCTCGACATGTCGTTTTTTTTTGTATAGGATTATGCTGAAAGGAAGCTAAAGGCGGCCAAACCAAGATATGAGACCAATCCATGAAGTCAACGACAATTAGATTGAGCCGTTTCAGCAGGTGTAGACTATCTGGTTAGGTCCGCGTGATGATGGATAACAAGGAAATCTAAAATTGGTGCCCTTTCATAAACAAAAGGAGTGGTTTAAAATGGTAAACCCTGGATGTAGTGCATCCTGCTGTATCAATGCTTCTTAGTACTGGTAATCCAGTTTGATAAGTGCAGGACCAACGTTGTGGAACTTAAATATGTATGATTAATAGCATCATGTAATAGGTACAGCAGTCGTATCGTAGACTAAGCGTTCATTTTTCTAAGTTGAAAATGTAAACGTCTTTTCAGGTTCGTACAAGTTATCTTTTAATTACGTCGTTAATAGTAGAAAGTCAATGTCTAGGTATGTCCATAGGCGTTTTACTCACTGGCATCTAGCTTTTTAAAATCGACTACTTCGTCCATGATGCAATTGTAATGATCATATCTTCGTCATTCTGTCGTTTGCAAATTATTTTTCATGTTTCACTACAACAGTCATCTATCTCCCAGGCATTACCATACTCTGAGATTAAAAGTATATACAAAAAGTTTGCTAACATCTTAAAAAGTAAAGTGAAGTTATACAATCACCATATCTACAAGGTTAAACTAATCATGTGTATTCAATGGGTCTTTTAAATGAAACATTTCACAATCTAGAGTAGCTATGTGGACAATGATCCTGCTTCGGTCTTTAATAGAGAGCTTAATGTGTATACTCAATAAACGGTACTGATTTCGGTCATGTTCTTGCCTGAACTGTATTGTTTTACACACACTAATATCGTTTATTTTGTCTTTGTCTTCTACTTTTCCACAATGTCGTTTTTCTGTTTCATGCTCTGATTCCATATTATTAAAAGCTTGTCATTCTGCATGATAAATGAATCAAATTCAATAGAGTTCCTAAAGTAAAGCGATAATGCAGTGATAAGTCTTAATTGCGCCAAATTATCAGTGGGGTTATAAAAGGGCTGCTTATATTCATTATTCCTGTGTGACTTAGTTTCTTTTGGGATTCCGAAGAGAAAATATGGTGAAAAATTAAAACTATCGCACTGAAAGTATTTTCTACCCCTTATATATGTTTTTTGCTGAAACTCGCGAATGTCATTTTGTAAATAAGAAGTCTACCAAGGGGTAGTGAATGTATCAAATATCATAGTCAAGGAATTATTTGCGTCATTACAATGTAACCAGTTGCACTGACAAGAAATAAGCCAATATGTTCTTCATAGCTTTAATATCTTTATTGGCACTTTCGAGGTCTTTTGTTTTAATTCTAAACTTTAGGGTTTCATTTTTTTTGGAGTGTTTGACGGAGATTGTAGTCTTCCTCATGGTAAATAGATATACGCTTACAATATGTCATGCTGAATATTTCTGCAGTCAGCATTATTTAACTTTCAAAGTCTGCTGAGTGTCATTTTGTTGCTTATATGCACTTGCGCTTACATTAGACACTTCTCCCCTACCTTATTGGATTCACGAAAACATGGGTATGCTGGATATTTGTATATATAATCTCTATTTATTAATCAAGACTTCTAGGACTGTTCTGGAAATGTGCAAGAATTGGTCAGTTTAATTTATTACTTTATTTTACCGTGAATTGTTTACAGGTGAACGCAAAAGTCCTTATGTTGCTGTCTGTTGCATTTTAATGGCAGGCTCAGTACTTTTCAGTTCGTAATTGTAATATATTTAAAAAAATAAATAACTTGCAAGGTTGAAATCTCTTTTTTTTACCATACTATGCTTAGATGCATAATTATTACTATCCTTTCTAGATTATTTGATATGCTTTCGTCAGTTTCTTCCAAGATGATCAACCAGTTGTTGAAACATTCATGTAGAAGTTCTTCACAAATGCCCAATCCTTACCGTAACCCGCTTAGAACTCGAACCAATCCTGTTGGGTATATTACATTTACTGTTTTTGTTTTACCGATGTTATGGATTATTCACGACAAAGCCTATGATATAGATCAAAAACCTCGACGTTGAAAATGACAAACTGATATATCTTCGTAAAAGTTATAATACATGTAATGTAGACTAAATATATAATACTTATCATTTTTTACGTGTTCTATCATTTCACGAAATGTATCTTGATTTATTATAACCTTTTTTATGTTTTATAGAGATGATAAATTTAATGTTGGGGCAAAAAGCCTCATCTTACCTAAGAAGTTGTGTTATTAGTAATACGGTACTTTGCACCAAAACCCGATCTGCAATTATTTGTACTTCTCATCGTCATTATTATATCCCTACCAGTGTAAAGCTCAAATATGAGCTTCATCATCTAAAAGATACCCTTTTATTCAGACAATCAAGGTATCTCTCCAATCGTTTGTCTAAGGAGTCAGGAAGCTCCAGTGGAAGTAATAGTAGTTTCTTCAGTGATACATTTATATCTATTGCAATAACCGGAGCATTTCTTGGCAGTTGCTTAGCTTTTCGCTGGTATGTAAATCGTCTACGTGACTACAGCATTACTGAAAAGAAAAACCCAGAGAAGTCAGGGTTAGTATTTATACGCTTTTTCTTTACCATTATGATTAGTCTTTGTCATTTATCTGCATCGTGATGTCATAAGTTTGTACAAAATACCAAGTCTCTGAAATGGCGCAATATCTCCCTGTTTACGTTTAACGAAAATATGATGAATGGTTTTTGATATTTATTACTCATCTACTTATTGATGTTCAGAGGGTACAGTTGATTATCCAGCAACTGACTAAATTATACTTACTAAACGTATAATTTGTACCATATTCTATTTCAGTTTTTCCATTCATGTGAATCATGCTCGTTCGGTTGGATAGGTGTAGATTAAAGCCAGGGTATCCGTATCAGTATCATAGCACTCACCAAGATCGCTTAATTCAAAAAATCTCCACACAGTTTTCACTTCATTGTTATTGTCCAAAACACAAAAAATCTGAGTTGCAAGAACAGGTCGGTTTGTTCAAGTCGTGGAAGTGTAAATCACGTTTTCACCCTCATCATATTCTGGATTATCATGACATCTTAATTCAAAAAATCTCCACACAGTTTTCACTTCATTGTTAATTGTCCAAAACACAAAAAATAAGAGTTGCAAGAACAGGTCGGTTTGTTCAAGTCGTGGAAGTGTAAATCACGTTTTCACCCTCATCATATTCTGGATTATCATGACATCTTTTAGAGGCTAGTAGTGGTAGTGTTTCTTGACACCAGGACCGCTTTCGATTCACTGAACAGGATTACACTCGGTAACTTCCTGTTAAAGAAGGGTATATGTGATAGGTTTATTAATATCCTGGAGATTTCACAAACGCTGCAGGCACAGTGTAGACATACAACCACCTTTCTCTTGTTCTTACCAAACAACTGACTTCTACAATAATGTCTATTCTCATCATTGTTCAACTCTACCATCGATGACATTTTGTAAACAGGTCTAAAAGGTGTGTGTGGTGGTAGTGTGGGTCTGTTTTCTGGAGAAAGATTTCTCAACATTGAGTATGTTGATTAAGTTGTCTTACTGTGCGATGATTACGCAAGCTACAGAAATCGCAGTAAATCACTTGGAAATTGGTGTTCATAAGTACTGCATGTACTTTGCACCAGTACAATACTGGGAGTAGTCGGTGACTGCATGGACGTTTTGCAGCGAATCATTAGAAGTAGTCGAAAAGTTGGTGTGTGTGGGTAGTTTTTGTAAATGCTAGTGGTGGCATAACATGTAAGATCAATCTACGTTTACTGAAAGTCATTGCTTCTTGTACAAGTCAGTCAGTCAGCTACAACGTAGGACCAGGCATACTTATGCATAGGTCCAAGTTGCCATACCTCACTCATTAGCACAACACCAAACTGAGAAGCAGTTAATATAGTGATGGAAATATATTAAAGAAAGGTTGTGTATAAGGATAAAGCACAGGAAGAAAGACATGAAACAATTTTAATCTCACGGTTTAAGGGAAGATAAAGAGTGTATACACTTGCGCCATTGTGATCGATTCTAAGCCATGTTGCCTAGAGTTTCCAACCATTGGTTACGATAGTCGCGCGGACCCCAACCAAGTAGTCTGCATCTACCTACACGGTTCAGACTAGAAGTTAGTGACTTCAAGCACTGATGCCAGTATGGGTCATATTTACGCTGTCGTAATGTAAGTCTCTGTAAAACGTCAGGTATGCAGTGCATTAGTGGTGTGAAGGTGGTCTCCAGATGCCATTTAAGAAACTTCCCTACCGCTCATTATTTGCCGACGTTGATAAAATAAGGCGGTAGTCAATTTATGACAGCGCCGTTGTATAAACTAGCACCTATTGGTCCGTCGCAACTTCCTAGACAGGATCCTAGAGGGCGTGCAACTCAATAGCCTGAAACATCAGATGTGGTTAAAAATAAGAGCCACTGATTATTCTGCTGCAGTTTTCTATTATATTATTCATGAGAGTGAGATGAACCTCCATAACTTGAATTCTTTCGTGAATATTTTTTTTAACCCATCTGTATTTCTTGCTGAATGCTATTGCTCATTTTTTATTGATTGTACTACCCTTCCTCGGTTTGTATTTTCACTATATGTACTGTGCATATTTCGACACTATTTTACCCGAATAAATGTGCTTTAAATAAAATTGCACTATATTCTCGAAGTTAAACTTCAAGTTGCTATTTAGTTGGTATTTTCCAGTTTCCCGTGGCCAATGGTGAAGTATTTAAAATACAACTTCCTACTAATCATGTACTAAGTTAGAATAGACTACGTTTATTACGTTATCAAAGGGTTAATTTATGCGCATTACGAGAAGCAGCATATCTGAATGTTATTAAAAAAAATACTGTTCATGTTTCACCTTTATTGTAACTTGCATATTCACACTACTAACCAGTTGGAAGTTGATAGTATCCTTGATGATTATGCTTATAAAGAGTCAGTGAAACCGGCTTTAAATGAAACATGTACAGTATCATAAGGGCTTAAGTATAAATGCGGTGCGGCTTTGGATGGGAACTTCGAAACAACTGTCCTGTTCTTGCTTGTTTCTACTGGCTATCCAAAGTAAGTCCGTTGTGTAACCCGCAAAACTCAGCAACCCCCGTAAACTTGATGCACTATTTATTGGTTGCTTCCCTCTTCAATCATACTGCAAATCATTAAGATATTTTGTAACGATCACATTTTAATACTTTTTAAATGTGATTCTTGTCATTTTTTGTGGTTTTCTACTACCATTCATTGTTTCCTGATATGGTTTGGTTCTCCCTCCACTATTATCACAGTCCTGAATCAAACGTTGAACTAGTTACTAAACGTGCTCAACATTTATCGTGTATATTGCCCAATGGTCAACCAGAAAAAAGTGGTTAGTGTTAAGGCTAGGGGGCACCAGATAAAATGAGGAACTGGTTGGTTCGATTATAAACCTAAAGCGGTCAGAACTACAAGTCACCATCTACCTCTACAGGGCAATGTTTGCCGGTTGCAAAAGAGCCATGGACGGCCATATCAAGACGTGGCATCAGTCCACAGTCATTGACTTTTAAATTGTGACGTATTAATTGATACAGACTATTTGGTTGGTGTCTATGCGACCATTAGTTGGAGAATGAGTGATATGGTTCATATTCGTTTACAAGGGCGAAAATGCATTCACCCATCTTGAGTCCTAGTATTTCATTTATTCCTCTCTACTTTTTCCTTTTGAACCGTATTTCTTATATCCAGTATATCCCATTACCACTATTACTTCATTATTTCGTTCTATGTTGGTGTTCATCTTGTTATTTTCGTCGCCTATTAATCGCCTACAGAAAATTGAGCCGTCACACATCCAAATCACGCTTCATTTTAACGATGAATGACTGACATTTTGTTACGTATTTATAGCGAATAATATACAGCTTAAACTGTTATAAAATCATCTTAAGATTTCTTCTATCATATTCCTTATTACAGGCAAGTTGGGTCATCTAAGTAATATTAGACATATTAAAGTTATCCCATTCTACGTAATTTTTTTAGTTCATAAAAATAATCTCATTAATAGTTTTCAATTTGTCTGCGTTAAATTTCCATTTTGCTTTCACTAAATATTGTAATTACCTAAAGATATTGCTTGAAGTTACATAATTCTAAAACCTATACCACGTGAACTGTTAGTATAAAACTGAATATGAATGCTGGAAGCATTTGTTTGACAAAGTAATGGTCAAAGAAATAATTTTCTTATTATTCTCATTTTTTATTGAAGAAGAAAACTGATTACTGTTCTTGTCTTATATTTATCAAGGCTGGAACCTGAAGTATCTTCAGCGTCAAATGCGTTGGAAATACCTGTGACACATGCCTCTGAGTCAGCTTTGAATACATCTCCAATTCAACATGAAACTAGAAATTCAAGTGATCATTCACCCGTTATTGTTGAGCAACAGCAGCTGGATACTTCGGATTCTGTCGATTCCCAGGTCACTGAATCTGTAAAAAATTCAGTGAAAGAAGTTACAAATTCAGATTTTCATGATGAAAGTAGGTAACCATCTGTATATTTTGTCGAAAAGTTACATGTTATATTATCAACTGTTTTCAAAATGTTCATTGTTTATCTAATTCCATCTGTCTTCGGTCTGAATTATGCAGTTGTTTTAATAACTTGATATTGTGACTCACTTTACTGCGTATTTGATAGAGACAGTGTGCAATATACTTGAACTTATACTGTGCCTCCAAGAGAATTCAGTGATCTAGGGTTCGAGATTGCTCAATAATTCAATCATAGGTAAAGTTGAACCTGGCACAAATCTGCATTTATTCAAGTTGACATAGTGCATCAGCGCAAAGAGATGAAATTATCATAACAAATGCTAGTGTAATAGAAATAAAAACAGTATCAGTGGTGATAGAAGAGATTAGGCATAGATAATATAATTCAAGAGGAAAAATAATGGGTTCGCGAAATCAAAGTTATTAGATGATTTCAAACTCATGAATTAAGGGAATACACAGTGAACCAATCTAGACTATTTTGAAGAATTCTGAATCATGTCGTCAAATGTCTCCAACCATTGGCTACGATAATCAGGTGGATTCTGACCAATCCAACGACTCAACCCAATAGTCAGTGACTTCATGGACTGATCTCACGTCTTGGTTTGGTTGCCATTAGCTTCCTTCCGACCTACCCCTGCTTTAACCATCGTCTCATGTCAAATTGGGCTGCAGTAGGGCAAATATAATTCACACTTCAACTACCTCAGTCGAAAAGATTCACACCTTCATCAACTGATTTCCTATCTTTGCCTAGCAGTACCCTGCCCGCTGATGTGAGTTATGCTTTTAGATGATTCATAATTACCTAGTCTATCTCTGAAAGTTTCCGACTATTATCAATAATATTTAGTTCAACTTATGTCTGAAGAACCAGTGGTTTCCACTCTTTGGGAATAAAGCAAGAGTTATGAGAATAACCTAACTATATAGATCCATATATTTATTGATTGGAAGAAGCTGGAGAGAACCGTCGGAATGAATCCCTATCGTTTTTTATTTTATTTAAATTAAAGAAAATTATATGAGACTTTCACCAAAGTTTTAAAGTATGTTAACTCATCAATCAAGTAAAGGTTTGTGTTCTACGTTATAAACTATACCTAGTAAGATAACAGTTACTAACACTACTTAACTGATTAAATCTAAGCTAGCTCTTGGAATTTTATGATTTATTGAATGGATGTAATTCCATACAATTAGTTCGTTTACTAAACTTTTGTAAACTAAGAACAACTAACATTTAGATAAGGTGAGTTCATTTTATTTCGTGTGCTCTTAATCTTCCACATACTGATTTATATAAATAAATGAAAGGTTTTACAAATGTTATCCTGCCACTTTTCAGTTGAGTATAAATTACCGTGTGGCCGTACAAAAGCTTTAAAGGCCACGTTGGAAAAGTTAGTGTCAGACAGAAACCATCTTTCACGAATAACTTTTATTGGTGTTTGTGAGTTACGACTACACGTTATTTTATAAGTTTAGTTATAGGTTCAATTTAAGGAATTACCAAACATCTCATACGTTCCTATGATATATTTGGCAGTAAATGTATTTGTTGATTTATTATAACCTCTGAAATCTGTAGACACATATCATGACTCAAGATTCGATATGCGGCAGGTGTTATTTGACTGTTCAAATATAGGAATAAATGTTTATGGCCAAATTTGTGTTTGTTTCCATAGTTTTGAATATATGTGTTTAGCTCTGACTGAATCTAGTGTTCATAACTCGGAAATAGATTTTAAAATACTCGTAAAATTCCACGAAATCAGTATTACATTGATCCAAAAGTTTGACAGCTGGCTAGAATGAACTTAGTCATTTGTACTTCTTGGCTTCCTGTTGTTCTTCTACATATCTATGGAAGAACACATCATGGATAAATAAATGCAGAAGCTATAAGTCTTCATATTCAACTGCTAAGTATTTTGGAGTCAGTTATTCACTGTTATATTTCTTTTGGCAAGTGTTTGAAGATATTTTCAAATAATACCGTTTTTGTTTTTCCCAATAAACGTGTTGTCCTACTATTTTACTTACTCACTAGCGTTTTCTATCCAACTCTGTCCTGGGCATATCTTTCCAGTTGCTATTCATTCTTTTCATGTCTGCTTCCCATTCCCGACGCATTATGTTCTTTGGCCTTCCTCTTTTTCGTTTCCCTTCAGGATTCCAAGTTAGCGCTCACCTCGTGATGCCGTTTGATGATTTCCTCAATGCGCCCTATTCACTTCCAGCGTATTTTCCTAATTTCTCCTTCATCTGGAGGTTGGTTTTTTCTCTCCTACAGCAGGCTGTTGCTGATGGAATCTGGCCAACGGACATTCAGCTTCTTACGTAGACAATTGTTTATAAAGGCGTGTACCTTTTTGATGACGGTTGTGGTAGTTCTCCACATTTCAGCTTCATACAGTAAAACTGTCTTGACGTTCGTATTCAAGATTCTCACTTTGATATTAGTTGACATTTTTTTTGGGTTCCAGATGTTCTTCACCTGTAGGAATGCTGCCCTTGCTTTGCCAATCGTCGCCTTTACGTCTGCATCGGATCCTCCCTGTCCATCTATTATGCTTCCCAGGTACGTGAATATTTCCACCTCTTCCAGAGCATCTCCATCAGGTTTAATTGACTTGGTGTTGACAGTGTTGTATATGATGATGTTGGTTTTCCCCTTGTGTATTTTGAGGCCTACTAATGCAGATGCTGGTACTACACTGTTTATCTTGACCTGCATTTGTTGATGTGGGATAGAAGGATCAGGTCATCTGCAAGGTCTAAATCTTTTAATTGGTTCCGAGATGTACATCGTATTCCATACTTTCCCACGGAGGTCGAGGTCTTCATAATCCAGTCAATCATCAGAAGAAGGAGGAAGGGAGAGAGTAGACAGCCTTGTCTGACTCCGGTCCTTTCTGGAAATGTTTCTGTCAACTGTCCTCCATGCACCACTTTGCACTGTAGTCCGTCGTATGAGTTTTGGATGATGTTAACAATCTTCTCAGGAAATACATAGTGTCGAAGAAGTTTCCATAACGTTCTCTTGTCCACACTGTTAAACGTCTTCTCATAATCAGTGAGATTGATGTATAGTGACGAGTTCCACTCAACTGATTGTTCAACAACACAATATTGTCGCAGTTCGGTCTGTGTACGACCGATCCTTACGGAATCCGAACTGTTGGTCTCGAAGCTGGACGTCTACTGAATCTTTAATCCGTCTAAGCAACACTCTGTTAAAAATACTTCCTGGTACTGACAGTAGTGCGATGCTTCTAGTTCACACATTTTTTCAAATCTCTCTTCTTTGGTATCTTGATGAGTTGTCCTTTTTCCCAGTTTGCCAGTGGCACTTGTTCTTCCTCCCACATTTTTCTGAATGGAACATAGAACATCTTGCAGTTACTTGTGTGTCTGAATTCAGAGCTTCAGGTGGTATACTGTCAGGTCCTGCTGCCTTCCCATTCTTGATTTGTCTGGTGGCCATCCTGATTTCTTCGATCGTTGGTGGGGCGACATCTATAGAAAGGTTTGTGTGTGTTGCTTCGATGTCCGATGAGTTCAGTGGATTTAGCCTATTCAAGAGTTCCTCAGTGTTCCATCGATCTGATCCTGTGTCCTTGAATTCCAGTAATTAGCTTACCTTCCTTGTCCTTGACCGGTTTCTCTGGTTTAGTATATTTCCCTGCCAGTTTCTTCGTCGTGTCACATTGTTGTTTCATATTTCTCTTTCAGCTTTTCCCACTGTCGTTGCTAGTCCTTTCATATACTTCTGCTTGTCAGATCTAATGCTCTTTATTTGCTTGTTTGCTTCTGTGTATTCAGCTTGTGGCTTGACTTTCTCTGTTCTTGTTCGACTGTTGTTAGTTGCTGTCTTGTTCTTCTTCTCTTGAATCTTGTCCAAGGTTTCGATAGAGATCCATTCCTGATGATGATGCTTGTTTCGGCTCAGTACCTCCTGGCCAGTTGAAGTTAATGCTTCTTTGATGCGTTTCCAGTTGTTCTCCATAGTAGTTCCTTATTTGAGTGGAACTTGTTGTTAAGAATTATCTTGATTTTGTTGTGTTTATTAGTACTGTGGTGTGGTTTACTTATATCCACATAAGTAGTATATGGTGATGGTCAGGCGTAAAATGTATTTTGGCAGAAGATCGGTAGGGAAAGAACAGGAACGAAGCGCAAGCGGTATGAAAATGCATGAACAATGAAATCAGAGAAGATGTACTGATATTTGCAGAAGGAACAGTCAATATTGAGACAATTGATTGTTATTTTGCAAATTAACTGTTTACTGTATGGTTATTAGATTTTAGTGAGCTAGTCTGTAACTTTGTGTCAAATACATTCGATTGTCTCCACCTGTTTTGTTGTTCACTACAGTACTTGTCGAGGTTAATATCCTCTATATCTGACTCCAATAAATAGTATCCCATTAACTGAGTTTTTAACACAGGCTAAATCTCCTTGTAGAGTTATGGATTTACTCGAGATTATTCAAAAGCCCAAATACCATTTATATAAATAGTTTATTGTTTAAGATCGGTAAAATCCGCGAGCGTGCAGGAAATAGGCACACAGGGAAACAAGTAAGTTGAAAATCTATATATATTTATGAGTGTTAATTGGTTGTGGATAAATCATTGATTGTCTGTGTGTTACAACCACTGAGAGAATAGACTTAATATTGGTGTGCAGGCTTTCTTCAATTAGACTTACACATAATTTTACATAGTGGTTTAAATGTTTAATTTACAGTGAGTAGACAAATAATACAATAGTTGAATGGGATTACTACATACTTTGTAGGAAGGCTGTATTGAACATTTATGATGTTGTTTGTCCAGTTTTCCAAGGCTTCTTTAGCTTCAGTTTCATCTTGACAACCACCAGGTAGTGATTTGAAGCTACATCAGATCCTCTCCTGGTTCTCACGTCTTCCATCGTCCTTCTGAACTTACTATTGTTGAAAATATAATATTTCTGGTTCTCCGTGGTGTGGTCCGGTGAGATCCATGTAGCTTTGTGTATGCGTTTGTGTGAAAACATTGTGCCGCCTATAACCAATTTGTTGGATGCACATATATTTGCAAATCTCTCCCCATTTCCGTTTCTTCCTCCTAGCCCATGTCGTCCCATAATATTTTCATATTCGGTGTTATCCATCCCGACTTTAGCGTTCAGATCTCCTATCAGAATTGTCAGGTCCTTTCCTGGGTACTTCGCTATGACCGATTGCAGCCTCTCGTAAAACTGATCTTTAACGTCGTTGTTACTATCATTGGTTGGTGCATAACACTGGATAACAATCATCGTGATTCCCTCCTAATTTGTCTTGAAGGGTGCCTTGATGATTCTGGATCCGTGATGTTCCCATCCTACAAATGCATTTCGTGCTTCTCTGAACAACATTAGAGCAACTCCCTGAGTGTGTGGAGCATTTTCCTCTTCGTGACCGCAGTACAAAAGTACCTCTTTCGTATCTAACGTTTGCTGTCCAGGTTGGGCCCAATGGGTTTCGCTGATTCCGAGTACTGCCAAGTTGTATCTTTTCATTTCCATTGCTATTTGATTGGTACTTCCGGTCTCCAACATTATCCGGGCGTTCCATATACCTATCAAATTGATGTTCTAGTTGTTAGAAGAAGCATCGACCTCGTGACTTCCGAAGAATCTCGGTTTTCAACATGAGGCGTCACAATTCTTCCTTCAACTCTCAGGAGAGAGTTTAAGTGGTTTAATTTGTTTAATCTGGTTAGCGTTTCTTAGCACGATTTTCTTCAACGGGGTGGGGTTGCTAACCCCATGCCAAACACTTCTCCTATACTCGCACTTGGAACCGGCGGTAGCCCTAGAAAAGCTACAGGCGGAGTTGTGTGGTCCTATAATTGTAGGTAAATAAATAAATGCAATTAAAAATAACTTATTAAGATCTGCTTATCTAAGTTATGCTCTTTGAGCTGGTTTCTAATCCCTCGAGCGGGATTGTGGATGCTCACTGCTGAGGAATCCTATACAAGGACGAAACGGCCGTTCAATGCTTCCAAGTTTAATCATTTAATTAAGGGACAGGTGGAAAAGTCGATACAGTAGTAGCAGTTAATCATACCCTATTTCATGTTCAAAGATTATCTTTAAATGAGAGTTGGACAAACACTTTCTGTATAAGGATATTGACCTATTATGACACCTATAATTTTTTAGAACAGTGCATTATTTCTCGCAGCTTTTATTTAATCAGAATAACATTTTCAGTGTTCATTTTAGTCGAGTTCTAATTTCTAATTACTATAACTAGTATTATTATTTTAATATTATTCAATATATTTGATCTATCACTTTAGCTGTTCAAATAATTATGTTGTCGACAGTATTTTAACTGTTTGAAAATCTGTATAGCATTAAAATATTCATATATGAATGAAGAATATTCTTTTCAGGTTCTCTATTTATGGTATCCAAATTACTTATTCAAATAGCGACCAGGTCTAAGGCAAATAAGTCGTTTAAAATTACAGTTTAGAAATTAAGGATTATTTGTTAAAGAAAATAAAAATTTTATATTAGAAGAGGGTTTTGTGGAGATTTTAGTAATATAATAGTTAGATTCATGAGTTAATTAAAGCTAGACCACCATGGAATATCTGGAAGCATTGAACGGCCTTTTCGTCCTAGTATTGGAATCCTCAACAGTGCGCACCCTGGTTTCGAATCCCTCGAGCGGGATTGTGGATGCTCACTGCTGAGGAATCCTATACCAGGACGAAACGGCCGTTCAATGCTTCCAGGTTTTCCATGGTGATCTAGCTTTAATTGACTCATGAATTCAACTATAATATTTTTTATTTTAAAATGACTAATATCTAATATTAAATGTGATTTTGAGATTGATAAACAAGAAGAAGTATGGATAACATAAAATAATTGTAGATCCAATTAAGTGCTTATTGGGAGATGATATATGAATTCAATAAGAAATAACATTGCATTGGAATGAGTGCTAACTAAACTACTGATGCGTTCGGAAGATCACCAGTAATATTAAACCAATGATAATAATAAAGATATGTGAATAAAAATACTGATGACAGTATTTGACTGTGAAAATTTGTTTTTATATTAGTCAGTTTAGATTATTTTATGATTAAGTTCACTACTGATCTATTGGCCATGAGGTTAGTCAAGGTAAGAGAACGGGTTGAACATATTTCTTTTGCACACGTAGTTCCAGTTTTTTAATCCGAACGGCTTTTACTTCTACCGTTTAGAGGACTTTAAGTGGGATTTAGAAAATTACTAGCCTAATGAATTATTGAGAATTGTCGATTTTTGTTTTTTCATTCCTTACCACACTTTCGGTATGCAAAGGTCAGGTCGTAATAGACTTTGCAAAGCAGAGTGAATGTGATTAAGAGCAGACAAAATGTAATAAGTCCGCTTCATGCTCCACAGTGTTTTTTGTACTTGATTAACAATAATTGACGGTAAATTCCAAGAACTAACGGGTCATATTTAGATTTCACTAAAATGTTTTTTTTGTTCAAACTTCGCTTAACCTGTTTATGGAATTGTATTCCATTGTATACTTTCAGCAATGTCCAAGTGTTACATATTTTCGTTTCGTAAAACTGGGCATTTTTATCAAAATATCTATGAATATAATAGTGTTAATAAGCACTAGATTTAAATTGATTTTTTATCTATCAGTTGTTCACTTTTATACTTTAGAATAGTAGATAATCCCTAATAGAAAATAGGAACACTTTATGTTAATGAGGATGTAGGCGGTCCTATGATCATCTTTGATTTGGATAAGATTTCTATTTTTATTCTGTTAGGGATAGGGTTCTAGGTAAAGATGGCGAATCGATTGGAAGTATTAAATCCTCACCAACTAAGGTGGTTGGAACGTGTTATGTATGCTTGTCCACTTCCTCCTTCGCGGTGCGACGATAGCTGGTGTAGTAGTAATAGGTCTAAAGAAAGCTAGAAACGGCTAAACCAAGACGTCATTATTAATTGGAGTAAGCCATGCTAATATGCCGGGGTCCGCGTGATTATTATGGTCAATGGTTAGAGACTGTGAATGACATGGCTCAAAATCGCTCACAATAGCACGTGTTTATTCACTCTTTGTCTTCCATTAAATCATAAGCTTCCAAACTTCCCATATTATCTAATGTCTTATATTTTTTCTACAGTTGTATCTTCAATGAATAATCTGTTCTACCACCACTGATGTTGTTATTACCTCTACTATTCTGGGACACCCTGACAGTTTTATCTCGCCGTGATTGTCCTGTATGACAACTTAAACTGACGTATATATATACTAGATTCTATGCCGCTTTTGACTGACTGACCTTTCTTAAATACTTCAAGGAAATTACTTAACATTTGTAAAACAGTAATAAATTAACTGATTAAATGAGTTCAGTAAGGTGTCTGTAATAGATGAAATTAAAAGTTACATCACTGTTATTAAGTTTTTATTACAATATGACGAAGATCACGAGTCTTTTGATCACCCTGTTCTTTATTAATTTATACATTACTTCAACTCCATCAAGGTAGCTATCTGAAATGAAGTTGTTTAAGAACTTTATTTTTCCAAATATGTCAGTGTTAGTATAGTTTTGATATTCTTAACTTCAAAAGTTGGATCTTTTAGCATTTCAAATTACCAAAATATATACTTGAGAACTCCTTATATATATAATTTAATCGCTCTATGCGGCAAACTAACTATCCTTTTTTATGACAATTGGGTTTCACCATAGTCTCCGTTTGTTTATTATTCCTTATTAATAGTACCGGAATCACTTGTGTACATTAAACCAGAAGATGAAATATTTCCTTCACATGTACCATACATTATTGTTGGTGCTGGAGCGGCTGGAATGTCAGCAGCCCGTTCAATACGTGCCTCAGACCCAACATCTAGAATTTTATTAATTTCTGGTGGTGGGGAATCAAGTACAATAGCTGAACCAGGTATTGAAGAAACTTCATTTCTTGAACCGCCACCTTACTTGAGACCACCTTTAAGTAAAGAATTGTGGAA